CTAATAAGCGAGGAGGAGGGAGAGGCTGATGACGGCAATTTACCCAGTCCCGGTCTAGACTACGGAGTCCTACCCCCACGACGACAGACAGACAGAAAAGACAGACGGCGCTGGCTTTACAGTGCACAAACTATTCTTATCTTCGTCTCTCGATGGCTGGCGTGCCGACTTCATCGTGATGAGGTGTAACTAAGTGTTCTTCCTCGGGGTGTTGCTTTTTTTTCAAAGGGGCGGGGGGGCGGGGAGAGGGACAATGGAACATATGGCAGAGCCGCAGTGGCAGAGGAGGATGACTTGAGGAGGAGCGCAGGGTTGTGTCGACCCGCGCTGGCGGGTAGGTGGGTGGTAGGCCACCTCACCTCGTTCGTCGTGGGAGATTGACAGGCGGGCAGCAGCACACCACCACCGCAACTGGCAGGTTTGGGCACCAAGGGTCCAATCTCGGTAAGGGTGTTGTAGATGACAAAGGGCGATCAATACGATCGGCCAGATGCCAGGTCGGGGCTGGTGGTGACAGGAGCGCGTACTGTGCCAGTACATGCGTCGAAAAACAAACACTCGCGGTGTTACCGGTTGGGCTGGAGGACCACTCGTCGCGTGGGGTAGGTAAGGGTAGCAAGCGACCGACGATGGGCTGGAAAGTTCCGAAAGCCGAAGCGAAGGTCGGAAAGAGGTCGTCGTCTGGGCGGGCGGGTGCCTGTGCGCAAAGTAACTGACAAGACTGGACTGGTCGGCTGGTGTGGTGAGATGGAGGGAGCCCTGGAGGGAGGGCATGGGAGACGGCTGGGCGGCCACGATATCCTTTGTCTCAGGTCTCACGCGTAGTAGTAGTAGTAGTTATTGTTTATTCTGCTTTGAACTGCGAGACAGCATGATGGCACAACCTTTTCGGGGCGCCACGGAGAGGCTATTGTGTTGGTGGTGGGCGTGGGCAGCAGAGTTGGGACGGACTCGGATGCTTGCAGATGGCGCAGGTAAGCTGCAGGAACATGACGGGACGAGGCGAGGTGAGTGGTCGAGTTCGCCTTGGGTGCGTGCGCATGTCCCTCCCAGTCGGAATAGCAGCAGCAGCAGCAGCAGCAGCAACAGTGAGTGAGTGGCCAGCGTAAGAGGAGGGCCGAGGAGGAGGAGGAGGCAGATAGTCCAGCGGACCGCCTAGCATAGCATGCTCATCGGTTGCTAGCAGGCTACACACTCGATACGGCTCTCGGTCCTGGTGGGCTCTGCTCGGCTCTGGAGTCGATTCGACGGGGGTAGTACACAGTACTGTGGGATCAGCTTTGAGCACACACCCACACACATAAAAAAAAAAGGAGACAGGGTGCTGCTTGTGGCGGACGCAGGTACAAAGTTTGGCGAACGCGACGGGACCACTCACAAACACACACACCCCCTCCCACTTCCCCCACCCGCACGCGCACCCCGCCAGGCCAGCCGCACGCACAAAGCTGCAGCACGCGGCCGAGACAGCGGATGGGCCGGGCCTCGCCTCAGCAGCGACAAGGTTCGATGTTAGGTTTGGGCCCTGGGGTTGCTGCTTTGTGTACACGGTACTGTTGGCTGGCGGCGGCAGAAGTGGATATTGGGTGGCAGTCAGTGGACGGGAAAAATGGCCTGCAACCGCCAAACCCGAGCAACAGTAGCAGTTGGTTGAGACACTGGCGAGTGACGATCAGCCAGCCAGACTCCAGACTCCAGACTCCAGACTCCAGACTCCAGCCCGGCATGCACGCCAGCATATGCAAGATCGCTTCTTTTAGCGATCTGTCCACCGTCCAGTCCAGGCGTGTCGTGCCGTGGGCGTACCACATCGCAGTGTCCGTCCATGGTGTATGACCTGGGTTACATACTCCATGTATGTTGTATTGTACGGAGTAATGAACCGTCGGGTGGGCTGGCTCGTCCTGATCGGCCGAGACGGCCTGTCACTCTTGGTCCCTGGCCCACGGCCCACGGTTCGGAGAGGCCGTGATGCCGTCCCACTGGGGGCACTGGGCACCGGGGAGAGGGGGCCAAGCACCAGCCAGCAACTGGGAGCCGCATTGCCGTACATCTGACTGATTGAGATGTGTTGTGTGTGCTGTGTTGTGTTGCGTTGGGTTGGGCTGTGGCCAGCCTCTTGTCGGGCTCAGGACACAGCCAGCCGTCGTCTGTTGGTCGTTTCGCCTGAAGCTGGCAGGGCTGGCAGGGCTGGCCGGCAGGGGAGGCAGTTCGCTCGCACAGACGCCAACTCCAGACTGGCCCCAGAATCAGATAGATGGGATGCATTCCATTGTTACTGTTGCTGTTGCTGTCGGTCGGGCGTGCGAGTCGACACGACTGGCAGGCTGCTGATTGATTGGTGTGTAAGACACGCATAACCAAAACAACCGGCCTGCAGGCTGCATCTGCTTGTCTTCTTGTCGTTGTCTTCTTCTCGTCAGGGTCCTCGTATGTGGTGACCCCCTTTCTGCCGTGACGATTCGCCTAGGGAACACGCTTCATTTTGGATTGTTGTGGGTCAAGGTTTTGGTTCATGCACCCTTGCAGCAGCAGCAGCAGCAGCAATTGAGTCTTCCTTCCTTCCTTCCTTCCTTCCCTTCTTTCTGCCGTTCATCAGCCCGTTTGCGATACGTGCACCGTACTGACTATCTGACTGACTGTCGTCCCCACCCAGCGCCTGCCCCCGATTCGCCAACGTCGTCCTTCGGTTCCGTCCCCCTTCGACTGGGAGGGCCCGCCCGTTTTCTTCTGGAAGCCTCAACCCTGTCGACCCTGCCCGCTGCTGGTCCATCTGTTAACGTGCTCAGCCCACGGCCGTGGCAAAGTTTAACTTGACATACTTCCGCTACCCCACTTGTAAACACCTGCCATCCGGTCAACCTCCAATCAAAGTATCGGGTACAGAGTGCTACGTAGTACACACATTGCAGAGGTGGCTTTATTATGATGGTGCACGTTGTGCAGGCTGGTCTCACCAAGTCTCACCAGGAGACTTCTGCACGCGAATGCAAATCACTTCCAGCTTCACACTGCCCTGCTGCTTCGTTTTGCCTTTTCAGAAACTGTGCAGAGTGCCAGAGTCCAGAGGCTGCAGGTGCAGGGCCAGGCAGGCCAACAAAGCATTATGACCAGACCAATATTATTATATGCATTATCGCAGAGATGGAGGTCATTTGCCAATCCGGGTTCAGGCGCTAGGCCCGCCAGAGTCGGATCCTTGCCGGCAGCTAGCACTCATTAGCTAGGCTTCTGGCGTCTGGCTTCTCCCCGTTGCGACCATTTGAACCTGCCTGCCCGCCTGCTGGGCCAACCGCTGGACCTTTTTTGCCTGGGCAACCCTGGCCTTGACTGACTTGCCCTGCTATCAACTAACACTAATAAATAAGCGCGAAGACGGCAAGGACGGGCACCAGAGCAGGGCAGGCCAGGAGCCATCAAGTACATAGGCACAGAGGTACATAGGTACTTACCTAGGTACTCAGGTACATCGCACTTGTTCACTGCAACCCTACACCACCTCCCCCCCCAAAACCTCCATTCCAGGCCTTCAGGCCTTGCAGACCCCCAAGCTCATGTGGACCAACCGTGCCTGCATCGCACCTGCAAGCTGCTGTGAGTCGGGACAGTTTGATTTGACAGGCACAATTCTGCCGCTGCCACTGCCACTGCCACTGCCCATTGCCCATTGCCCATTGCCCACTGCCCAGACTTAGCGTTTTGCTTGGGTGCTTGAGTGCTGTGCCTAGCTACCTGGCTCTACCTGGCCCTGCCTGGCTCTCCCCACCTGCCAGCTCACACATACAACCTCATCTCATCTCCATCTCCATCTCCATCTCTGTCCCGGTCTCCCGTCGCCGCCCGTCCCCATCCCATCCCAATCCAATCCCACCCCATCCCATCCCACCTCGCCGCCGCCGGTGCAGCCAGCCCGTTCTTGTTTTCGCCCCTCCTCTCCTCTAATCCAATCCCCCCCCTCTGCCTCTCCCCTCCCTCCTTGTGACAAGAATCACGCGCTCATCAGTCACCACCCGCAAATCACAACCGTGAACAAGAACAACTTGGACTGCCTGTTGCTGTTCTCGTGACTGGTTTGGCTGCAGACACTACAGACAGGAAGACAGCAAGACAGACTGACTGACAGGCCACATACACAGCCCTGTCACCCTGCCTGACGACTGACTCTGCGGCGGCCCATCAGTCCATCTATCTCATTTCGAACCTCGCCCGCCGTGTTTTGTCCGCCTTTCCTCTTTGGGACTTAGGTGTGCCTCTTCCATCCACGCCGACCCCAGCAAGTCCCAGTCTCCCAGTCTCGCAGTCCCTCCTCCAGTCGCCCACACCCAGAGCTGCGAGCCCGACACGACCGATATTTTTTAGCCCCATATTTTCCCTGCGAGGGAACTGCCGCCGAAGCCTGGCAGCTGTTCGTTCTCGTTCGAAATTTCGACGACGAAACCCTCTCTCCATCTGTGCCCTCCAGCTGTGCCCTCCAGCAGTTCTGCCTCTGCCAAGGTCCGCCCAAGGCCCAACCAGAGAGGTCAAAGGTGCATGCAACGGTGCAAAGTCAAAACGCCAAAACGTCAAAGGTCAAAAAAAGGCCCAACCTGGATATCCCCACCTCCGTTGAAGACGGCGACGACAAGGACGATAACAACAACCACGACAGAACTGTGATAGGCACATAGACTGCGACAGCCACACCCCACAGCGAGCAGCGACCGTGCATATTTTTTTGTATCTCTTGCTCGTCTCGGCTCGTCTCGTCCTGCCTGCCTGTCCCGCGCTCTCCCCTTCCCTCGCCTGGCCCTCGCGTCATTGTCGTTGACCGCCTCGGGGCGACAATATCGAATAATAAAGGGGACCGTTGACTCCCTGGCCCCTCCCCACTCCAGGAGATTTCCTCCATTCCCGCAGCGCCGCAGCACCGCACTCGCAACGCACTGCACCGCATTCTTGCCAGCGCTGCAACCTCTTTTTTTCGGTGAGAGTTTCCCTTTTCCCCTTCCTCAACCCCATATGAGCCCCCTACCATTTCCCTTCCCCTGGCTCTGTCACTTGCCACTGCCACTGCCACTGCCTCTACCTCCGTCCCTGCTCCCATCTATCTTGGGCTTTTCTCCCTCCTTGTCGTTTCCCTGCTCGAGATCTCCATCATAGAAAACAGCACACCCGACCCCATTTATCACAAGCCTCTTCTCTAATACCGTCCCTGAACAGCTCTGCGCCACCTCACCCTGTCGCATCCTCCACCCCTGCGACTCTCCAACCCTCCCCTCCCGACAACACAACCGCCGCAACCACAACAGCCGCCACCGCCTCGCGACATCCTGCTACCTGATCCGGACAGCTTGCCTCTCCGCCTCCCTGGCAAGCTGTACGCCTGACTCTCTGATCCCCCCTACCCCAGCAGTCCCGCCACGGCCGCGTGCCCCTGCCAAGACACATACATGAGCATCATGGCCCACCCACAGCAGCCTGACGCGTTCGCCGCGTATGGGTCCTACAATGGCGGAATGGGAAACAGATCGCCAAACTCTACAAGGAATGGCTACTCTACTCTGCCCTCGGGTATGGGCGCAAACCGCCAGCCCAGCCAGAGGCAGCAGCAGCAGCAGCAGCAACAACAGCAGATGGAGGCCGCCAGCCAGCAGGGCGCCTCTATGTACCCCATGATGGATCGGTACGGCATCCTCGACAGCATCACACGTGGGCCCCCTCCGACGGTGTCTGGCATGCCCGGAGAGTATATGGCAGGCAACCAGTCCGCGTGGAACTACAACGGCGCCGGCTCCTCGGCCACCGTCAACGGCCCAATCCCTGATGTCAGATCTCGGTCCGTCAACAGGAGACCAGGCATTCCAGATGTCAGTTCAGGCCGATCTCCGCTGTCGCTTCTCCGATATCCCGCTGACCCTCACCCCCAACAGTACTGGATGCAACAGTCTGACCCAACCAGTCATCCCGGCATCGGTCTTCAGGCCCCTAACCAGCCCGTCTACAACCCCCAGGGCGTCCCCTACGCCCAGGTCATGAACGGCATGGACCAGCTCCGATCCCAGCCGCACATGTTCTCCGAGGCCCGCCAGTCCCACCACGACAAGAAGGACGACCTGATACCCACCGCCATCGTCATCAAGAACATCCCCTTCAACGTCCGCAAGGAGGTCCTGCAGGCCATCATGATGGAGATGAACCTGCCCCAGCCCTATGCATTCAACTACCACTTTGACAATGGCGTCTTCCGCGGCCTTGCCTTTGCCAACTTCTCGAGCGCCGACGAGACGAGACAGGTCATTGATCGCATGAACCAGCTGGACGTTCAGGGGCGCAAGCTGCGGGTCGAGTACAAGAAGATGCTGCCGGAGCACGAGCGGGAGCGAATCGAGCGGGAGAAGCGCCAGAAGCGCGGCCAGCTGGAGGAGCAGCACCGCCCCATGCCCGCCCTTCAGCACCAGGCCTCGCTGCAGTCCCTGCACAGCCGGGACAACGAGGCCCCTGCCTCCCGTTCCTCACCGAGCCGTAAGTCTGCCGCTCCCTCGACCCAGCGCCCCAGAGGCTCACCGCGCACAGGCGACTACGATCTCAACGACCCCGCCACCCTGAACAACTACATCAAGATGCGAAACTACCGGGAGGATGCCAACAACAACGACTACCTCGTCTTCGATGCCTCCATCGCCCCCGAGGAGCGCCGTGTCATTCACATCCTGGCCCACAACATGGGCCTGCACCACGGCTCCTACGGCACCGGCGAGAGCCGCTGTGCAGTTGTCTGGAAGGAGAACATGGGGCCGCCGGACCTGGCCGTCAACTCGAGTCACACGCCTGTGCCTGCCGTGGACCAGCTCCAGTACCCGGCCAACAGCAAGAGCCTGGCGCGTGCCGCCACCATCGACTTTGGCGAGCAACGGACCTCGAGCACCAATGGCTACGGCGCTGTCGGTCGGCACGGTAACCCGGCGCTCGAGATCCCCGACAGCAGCCCGGACGGCATCAACAGCATCGCCAACCTGCGGACCATCAGGAGTATGGCCGAGCTCGGAAGACCCGGGCAAAACCTGCAGGCGAGGACCCCAAGTCCCCGTGAGTCGGGCTACCCGACCTCGTCCCTGCGCCTGAACGAGCATGGTCTGTCGTCGCGCCCTGACCTCTCGAGTGCGTTCCAGGGGCTGGCTGCCACACCTACCACCCCTGGAGGTAGCCTCAACCACCGCGCGTCCGACCTCAGCCTCTCTGGTGTGACCAACAACCTGAGCTCTCTCAGCGTCGCGGAGGCCCCTTATGAGTCGAGTCGTCTACGGGAGAACCCTGGTGCTATTGGCAGCCAGCGGCCCGGCGTGAACGGCCTGAGTGCTCGCAACGCGCCTGAGCGCCAGCCCCGCGGTCCCGAGACCGGCTGGGAAAACGTGGGCTTCAATGGCCGCCGGGTCAATGGACACGCGCAGCGCGGCAGCGGTTCGTCCAAGCTGTCGTCCCAAGATTCGTGGAGTTACTGACGCGTCTCCTGCAGACTCGTCCGAGAACTTCCACGGCAGCGGCGCAAGCAGCAGCCTCTACTCCCACTAGTGTGGCGAGATCAACCTCAAGCCTTGGCACACATCTGGAACGATCGATTACCCAACCTCAATCAAATCCTACCCAACGAATGTCAAGGCCACCCTTGCACGGCGCACGTCATTGCTTTTTGATCTATACGTTTTTATATGCGATGAAATTTCGCGACGCTTCTGGCTTGCAGATTTACTCCCCTCGATTTTTCCGTTTTCATACCAGCCGACCGTGGAAGATATCCTCGGCGGCCTAATGCTACCAGAACGCGGCACACGGTCACGAATCAACACATCTTTGACGCCGAGCGGAGGACTTCCACCAGATATCGATACCTCCACGACCTGACGACTGGACGCTTGCCAAATCAACAAAGAAGTAGAAACGCCCAACAGCGGTTCTCGATTGTCGATCAGGGTTTCACAGAATTTACAACAGAGAGCTTATATGGGCGACCATTTTATGCCGTACGACTCAGCATTCACGGGGCATTGGCTGAAGGGGCTTGACGGGCTCACGTTCCCACACCGGTCAAGTCCCGGAGTCCAGGGCTCTCGCAAATCGAGGCTACCCACTTCCACCAAGCGCGTCCTCGGCAGAGGGCGCGCTCCTCGACCATGCCCCGACGACCGTTATGCCTTTACGACGATACGTCTAGATGGCCTCTAGATCATCCTGTTCTCAAGAACGGACACAACAAAACACAACAGACCCCTTGGCTTTCGGCCCCTCAGCCACCATCTAATTATGACGAAATCCGACGTCGCTTGCTTGCAATGTCTTCAGGCGTGGGCCTTTGTCCCCGCCCCGCCTCCCGGTCAGACGCCGATGGAGTTCCTCGGCCGTCCCCTCTGCAATGTTTATCGGTTTTCCAACCTCAAAAAGTTTGGTGATGGACCTTTGCTCTCGGGTCCTTGTATCATTATTATGACCCTTCCCACGACAGATGATATATGGATTACAGCCCCCCGCCCCCCTGTTTCAATATCCCTCTCTCCCCCGTTTGATCACGGCACAATCAACCACGTCTTCTTTTTTGGCCTGCATCCCTTGTAGTATTACCATCACATTCGTTTATGGCTTATAATGGACATCATCTTGGCGGACCTCGAAGCTCTTATTGGACGGCTTATACCAGCCTGGAAGACCATGCTCTTGTGACGACAACTTAGACATGGTGGGATTCTCATTCAGGGTATGGCGGTTGAAGGTGGGACCGACGTCAAAGTGTTGCTGGTTGGTGCACTGAGTGAGTTTGATTTCAGGGTCGCCATGGCAAGGAAAGGAGGGGGAATTTATTTGGAGAAGCGCCTCAGCTCGGCTGTCGGGACCGGCGTAGCTTCTTGGTAACGCACACACAGACACGTCTTTTGCATGGAAACGGAGTGAAAGGGGTTGGTTGGCTGACTTGAATAATGCCAATGTTGGTTGACCTTTGGTATATTCCCCTGGGGTGGTTTGGTGGGCGGGTGGAGGATTTTAAAGTCTTAATGTTGGAGGGAGGGAGGGAGGCAGGGGGAGGTCACAAAAAAAGGAGAGAAATCTATTTTTCCTTTTTTTACTTTCTTCAGCACGCACGCACGCACAGAGATACCGGAGTCGGGGAATTACATAGTTGGTCGACATAGCGCTTTTGGGCTGGTGGGTTGAGTCGAGTTGAGTTGAGTTAGTCTGTGAGTGAGTTGAGTGATGAAACTGAGAGAGAATTCCAACCAACCAGCCCGATGAGACGAAGTGCTGAATTAATGGGGAGGTGAAACCATTGTGTGTGGTCTAAGTGTCTTGTGTCTTGTGTGTGTGATTGTATGTGAGAGTGATTACTTGTTGATGTGTAGTTTGATGTGTGGATGAAGTGCAATACATGTCTGTCTACATACCTAGGTATGGTCCGGGTTGCTTGCTTGCCCAGGTACATTTGTATGTCCGTCCGTAACATGTCTCAGGAAACATCTCCCGGGCCCCGGTTCGCATCCATGAATGAGCTAGGGAGCCGGGGACAATGGGACATCTAGACTTGGACTGTTGAAGTCGGTTGGCTGCAGGTAAGCCAGCACTGAGGTGGGCAGTTAGGTAGGGGTACAAGCTGGAGGTCTAGAACTACACAACTAATCAACAACCAACCGCCCAACCGACCATCCCATCCCATCGCACCCCTCGCAAGGAACGGCTTTCTCCCATCCGTCAATGACCTCTAAAATGCATAGGTGGGTCTCGTTCATCCGGCGTGTATGTACGTATGTGTGTATGTGCTAGTCATCCACATGGACAGTAGACATTTCCCTGCAGCGAGAAGGGCGGGGGGGCAGGCCTCTTCTCGCGCCACCCGAGACTGCCACGGGCCGGCTATCTCCTCGATGTCTTTAAGTACCCCATAGCTAGATATTCCTTTGCTTACGTCCGGGCCGGGCCAGGCACCAGTGCTAGTGGTCAGTACCTAGTCACCCCGGGCCCGCCCGCCCCGACAGGCCGTCTGCCGCCACTTTTGCCACCGCGCATGGATCCCTTTCTAGGTTCCAGGCCGGGGTTTCCCGAGGGGGTGTTGGGGGGTTGGGTCGTCCCGTCGAACGTGTGTGGGGTGTCTGTGTCGGCGGTGGCGGGGGGAGGTCGTGCGGTCGGGGATGGCCCTGTGCGCCTTTGGAGGCTCTCGTTTGTTGTTTGTTTGTGTGTTGGTTGGTTGGTTGGTTGGTTGTTGCTGGCATGGCGGCGGGCGGGTTGTCCGGTTATTGGGTAATGGTTCTGAGTTGGCTTTGTGAATAATCCTTTTCTTCCGAGACGGGCGTGGGGGCTGGGGCTGCGAGGACATGGTGATGATGGTTTATTGTGTGTTTTTGGTGTCGGTGGATAGTTCAGACGCTTTGGCTGCCTGGCTGGATGGCTGGGTGACTGGGCACTGACGCTCTTGGTCTTGACTCTTTGTAAGGGAGAAGGAAAGGGGTCCTCAGCATGTCAGGCGGCCATAATCGTCGGTGTAGATGCGGTCATCTGGAAACGAGACGAGGAAAAGAAGAGGTCAGCGGCATCCTCCCATCCTCGTACGTACAAAAGAGGGGGGTTGTGGCGGAGGTTGTTTGGGTAGGGAGTAGTTGTCGGTAGGGAGGAGGTGCTGCCGGCCAGTGTGTCTGGAAAAAGAAAAGAAAAATAACCTTGGGAGAGGTTGAAGGGTGTCTGTCGTGAGGGTGGAGAGGTGGGGGCGGGTGTTGCTGAGACGCACTGAGGTTCACCGAAGAAGACGTCCTCCCACCGGTGACGGCGCGGACGCACACGCACTGCATGACGACCTGGGAGCTCTGCATGGCGCAGTCCGAGCAGGAGGGTCTGAGGAAGGCGTTGCCGCTGTGACCCACCCGGTTACATGTCAGTGTCAGTCAGTAAGTCAGACAGAAGAAGGAGGGGGCGTTCCACAAAAGGGAGACTCTTGTCATCTAAGAACAAAAACAAAAAACAGAAAAGGAGAAGAGGAGAAGAATCCTCAAACAGACTCGGACAGATTGCATGTGGACAGACACTATCAGGGGGGGAGAAGGGAGGGGGAGAAGGGGGCGGCCGCTCAGCTAGCTGGACGGGCCCCCTCGGGCTCTCGACTCACTCACCCGGCCTGCCAGACCATGGCGTTCGCCGTGGGGTCGACGCCGATGCAGCGGTTGAGATCGAGGGAGGAGACGGCCCAGTGCCTGATGAGTGCCAGTGTGTTCGTGTCCGGGCCGGCGCAGTAGCCCGTCAGGCTCACCTGGCCGCTGAGCATCCACCAGGCGCAGGTCGTGTTGAAGGCCGCGGCGGCGCCGTGGGCCACCATGGCCGTGGCTGTGGTGATGATGTGGCTGGGTTGCATGTTGGGTGGGTGTCGACGCGGGGGGGGGGGGGGAATTGGTTTGAGATTCGACTTGTGGGGTTGCTGTGATGAGTCAGGGGGAGATGGAGAGAAGGTGAGTGACTCGGATGGTCTGTGGTGAAGGAGGAAGCTCTGGAAGGAATAAGACGGGCGGAGGAGCAGACGGACGCCACAGGGCTTTTGTGCTCGGCCGGGAGGAGCGTTCATGGAGAAGTTACGGGGTGAGGGCGGTGGGTTGGTTGCTCTTACTTACTTGCCCTTAGCAGACCGTGACGTTCAAGTTGTTATTCATATCGAAGCTCGCATGCTTTTCTACGTCCACGGCCGCAAATACGGATTGTACGCTTGTGGAAATTGGCAAATGGCTTAGATGTTCTCTACATGCAGAAACAGAGCTCTACATGCTGCTCTGCTCTACTCTTGGTTTATCTAGGGCGATATGCCGAGATTTAAGAAAACACGAGCGTCGTCTATGACGTTACAAATGTGCCGGCCTTCCGCCTGAGCTCCATCGTCGCCTTGGTTGGGGGTATCATCGTCCTGCCTATACAGCTCGGCGGTGGTCTCTCATCCAGGGGCTTCAAGTCGTAGTTCAGGAGCAAATACGCAACCAGCATCTTGAGCTCGTGGGCAACGAAGAAGCGCCCGGGGCTGTCGCCATCATGTTGTCAGCACTGAAGGAACAATAGAGGAAAGGAGGAAAGGAGGAAAGGAGGAAAGGAGGAAAGGAGGAAAGGAGGAAAGGAGGAAAGGAGGAAAGGAGGAAAGGAGGAAAGGAGGAAAGGAGGAAAGGAGGAAAGGAGGAAAGGAGGAAAGGAGGAAAGGAGGAAAGGAGGAAAGGAGGAAAGGAGGAAAGGAGGAAAGGAGGAAAGGAGGAAAGGAGGAAAGGAGGAAAGGAGGAAAGGAGGAAAGGAGGAAAGGAGGAAAGGAGGAAAGGAGGAAAGGAGGAAAGGAGGAAAGGAGGAAAGGAGGAAAGGAGGAAAGGAGGAAAGGAGGAAAGGAGGAAAGGAGGAAAGGAGGAAAGGAAAGGAAAGGAAAGGAAAACACTGACCAAGCATGCCTCCCATGCCCAAAACCATAGTGCTCAACACTAGTAGTGACCATCCCCATCTTCGCAACCCTCAGCCCTCCATCCGCGCTCTTCTCGCCAGCAGCCCGGGCCTCGTACTCCTCCCGCAGCCGCGAGTACCGGAACGCATCGTACCTGTCGGCCAGGGGCCCAAAGATGTCCTCGTCGTGCTGCGTGCACCATATCGGGCAGGACAGGATGGTGCCGCGCGAGAAGTGCTGGCCCGTGGCGTCGTTGGTCACGCCGCCGGGGGCGACGACCTTGCGGATGACCATCGTCTGCGCCATGGCGTTGACGCGCATGCTCTCGCGGATGGCGCTGTCGGTGCGGTGCAGCCGCGACAGCTTGGCCTTGTTCCACTCGCCGCGAGGCTCCTCGCCGTCCAGGACGCGCGTCATCTCCTCGCGCAGGGCCGCGGTGATGTTTTGGCTCCTGTCGTGGCCCAGGAAGTCGAGCAGCGCGTGCAGCGTCGTGATGGCCGTCGTGTGGATGGCGGCGAAGTTGAGGGGCAGCAGCCGCTGGGATATGCGCACGGGGTCGAGCTCGTCGGCGCGCCCCTCGGCCGTCGCCACGGTTATGGTCCAGGTGATGTAGTCGTTGGGGGCCCTCCAGTCCTTGTAGGCCGGGTCGCCGCGCTCCCTGGCGGCCATGTCCTCGAGGCGCTGCTTGATCAGGGGCACGCTGTGCTTGGCCGTCTTGCGGTAGTGGTACTTGCTCGCCAGCCCGGCCAGCGGGCCCACGATGGGCTTGATGATGGTCGGGATCATGGGGAGGGTCATCAGGTCCCGCGTCACGTCCTCAGTGAAGTTGAGCATGTTGTCGAGGTACTCCTTGTTGTCGCTCAGCTCCTGGCCCACGAACATCAGGTTGGTCACCTTGGGGATGAGGACCATCAGGGAGTCCCAGATGTTGACTGTCCTCCACTCCTTGGCGTCCGTCCCGTAGATATCGTCAACGCAGGCCCGGATCTGCCGGTCCAACCCCGATAAGGGCGGCCAGGTGCCTCGCCAGCGAGCGGTGGACCACGTGCTCCTGGTACGGCTCCTCCAGGACCCTCTTGTCGACAAAGCTGTAGTCCCCGTTCAGGATGTCGTAGTGGGCAGCAGCCGTCGAGATGATGTGATCCGGCTGATCCAGCATCCAGTTCATCTGCGACCTCGGGATGACCACCTCAGGCGGCGTCCCGAGCAGCCCCGGGATGATGAACGCCTTGCCATCCTTGCTGTACTTGTCGTAGCCATCCTGGATCCAGCCCTTCATCTCCGTGAATGCCGCGAGGAAGCTCTTGCCCGCTCCCACGCGAGGGATATCCTTGGCATAGCGAGGAGCACGCAGCCAGGTCAGGAAGAGGGACAGTGCGGTGGATGCGAGGACCCCGGCCAGGATGTTGCCCAGGGTGAGCAGCTTGGGCTGGCCCTCAGTTGAGCTCATGTTCGATGGTTTAGAAGAAGCCAGATGCAGAAGTAAAGAGTGTCAAGGGAACGAGAAGAACGGTAACGCAGACATCATGGCGCCTGAGGTCGATCATGAGGCGCCATGTCGGGGTGATGCCAAGTCCGTCGGCGCGCCTGCGCTGCAGGAGTTTGGCCCCCGTGGTAATACATGCTATAGTGTCTGTGCTTAACATCTGGGCCGGTTTCATTGGACGGGCCATCGCCCGAGGATTTGTTTCAACGTGCCCCTGAACGGCGGACTCCGCCCTGTCATCATAAGCTCACAAGCTAGTAAATCTAAGAGATAGCGCAGTGCCTCTGTCTCGATTCAGAAGCCTTACTAACATAGGAGTATATCCCTGAAGTCTCTACCTAAGATCTTCAGCTACGGGGGGGGGGGTAATCAAACAGTAGAACAGGACTGCCAGTGATGGAGAGGCACGCTTTTACAGTTTATCTTGCTATAGCCTGACGTTGATGAGCTTGTTTCGTTCTCAACCCATATATATCCGAAAGGCCTACGGTCCCGTGGGCTACTTGTGTCGACAATTCCAGTCAGCAGGGCCGCCTCCTCCCCCCTCCCCCTCCCCGCTTGTCTTTCATACCCCCCCTATTTACACGTAAACCCACTACACTACCCGCACTGAGGTCTTCTGTGTACTTGGAGTTCAAAATATCTTTAATGTAATGGAGTGGAGTGGGCTTGTTTACACACACTACACTACACTGATTACACCAACTTTAGTGAGCGGCAACACTAGGCGACAGTCAGACCATCTCACATGTCCCGATTGACAGAGGTTATCTGACATGAAATCTGTGGTCACAGCCAGTATTGAGTACACCCAGATTTCTTCCAGTAGATGAGCCGCCTTGGTTCTGTTCTGGAACCAAACCAGACGATGGGTGTGTCTCGCCCCATCAGGCAAGCTGGCGAGGCTCTTCTTCAAGAAGCAAAACATAACCCTGATGTTGATTTACTATGTATCACCTTTCATATTATTTAGTTAGTGCCACACTTCTTATTGATTAGTCAATATCTGCTGTCAAGTTGATGGCTCCCTTGGGCTCCTTGTCATTCACTGTATGTTACAGCTCCATTATCACCTGGGCAGTGATTAGATATCTCATTTGGGTCCCCGATTTCATTTTAGTCTAGGCCTTTTCATATTTTATGAGCCCTGTACAACCAGTCAGGAGGTATTAATCAGCATATTGAGACATACTCCCCACTCCCCCTTTTGTGACTGTTGGAGGACTGCATCAAAGAAGAGGCAAAGTCACCTTGGCAGTCATTAATTTGACAGGCCTGTGTAAGGCAAGGCAGTATTCAGCTTGATGACCTATTGATGTAGCATGTTGTCCTCCTCGTATTCAAACCGACACCCCATTGCCACTCACCCCTTTGCACCGAATCTTGGCATCTTTCCCTCAAATTTTATAAAACCTGTGCGTGACGCTCAATTCAACCCCTCTTTTCATACCGAAGCTTCTGCAGAGAGATCATCAAAGGCTCAACGCACAGGCCAAAAAGAACCCTTTCAATCATGGATCCAGCAACCATAATTGGGACCACGTCTGCTATCCTCAGCTTCGTTCAATTCTCTGGAAACCTCATTTCAGTGGCCTCCAAGATCTACGAGAGTTCGGACGGCGCCGTTGACGACAACCGAAAGCTGGAAGAGGTTGTCACCGATTTCCAAACTCGCCTCCGGAGTCTACAGCCATTGGACACAAGCTTCTGCACCACTGATTCCCAAGCTGAGGTGTCTGCGGCCAAGACCGATGCCGAGAAGAGCCTCTTGCGGACGGCCAGCCAATGTGAGACGCTTGGTAATGTGATACTCGAGATCCTGAGCAAGACCAAAGCAAAAATCATTCAGATCGACGAGACACAATCACCATCCTTATTGAGGCGTTCTTGGAGGCGCATCCGCAAGGATGCTCCTGTTGACATTGCTGGTACGAGCAAACCGACATTGACGGAGGCGATCAGAGCGAGTATCCAGACCGTCTGGCAAAGAGACAAGATCGGCGTCCTCCGCCAGGAATGGGAGTTCTGCGTGAGCCGATTGAATGCAGATCTCCAGAGGTGAGTCGAATTCTCCAGCCGCCGTGGTCATGGGTAATAACGTCCCTTGAAACATAGGCTGGACGCAGAAGGGAAGCACGATGTCATATGCAGGGCATTTCAAAAGAACTCGGAGCAGGTTGACAAGATTGGACACCTTCTCGAGTCGCTGATGCAGCACCGAATCCCCCAGTTCGAATGTCTGCAGTCCTTCCTCGACGACTTTAAAGAAGCCGATGAACCCCGCCACTTGGAGCAGAGAAACATTGGATGGATACTGAAAGCTTTGGAATTTGATTGCATGAACGCAAGAAGAGACCAGGTAGAGGACACCGTGGGAAACACCTTCAAGTGGCTCATCACCAACGATGCCGTGCCGCATGATCATCCCGAGCTGAAGGTCTCTTTGAAGACATGGTTGAGTAATGGCACCGGTGTCTTCCATGTTACAGGGAAGCCAGGGAGTGGCAAGAGTACTCTCATGAAGCTCGTCGACCGGGCTGCAGAGACCCAGTGGCAGCTTGAGAGGTGGGCTTCTCGGACAGGGGATCGTCTCATCATTGCGAGGTTCTATACATGGAAAGCAGCAAATGCGCACCGTCTTCAAAATCAGGAGGAGGGCCTAACTCGTACTCTGCTCCACCAGATCCTCACCGCCGCCCCCGAGCTTGCGCGAGTTGCATTTGCCAAGCACCCTTGCTGGAACCCTCAAGAACATCGTCTCGCCAAACACTTGTCTCGGAGCCAAGGCATTTCAGCAACCATTCGTCTCGAGCCAGAGGATATCCTCGCTGCATTAGAGAGCCTTTTCCGCGTTGAGGGATACTGTTTCTTCCTCCTGATTGATGGCATGGACGAATTCGAGAAGCCACACAACCATCGCGCAATCGCAGAACGCGTCCGGCAGTGGAGCTCTTGCAATTTGCAGAGAGTGAAGGCCTGCGTGTCAAGTCGCGAGGAAAATGCTTTCATGGGCAAGTTCTCTGCTGACCAGCGTCTGCGGTTGCATATGGTGACCGCTTCAGATATCCGCCAACTAGTGGACGTACGTTTGATGGAGCACGATCATTTTCGACAAGCCTCCCCATCCGATCGCCATGACCTCACCCACAAACTTATGGACAAGGCTGAAGGCGTGGTCCTCTGGGTGGTCCTCACGATCCACGAGCTCAAGATGCTCATGGATGACAGCCAGAGCTTCCGAATACTTCTTGAAGAAGTGGACAGGCTTCCAGGGGAAATGGAAGATTTCGTGCGCGAAATACTCAGTCGAATTCCAGACGCATACAAGGAGGAGTCCGAGGCTATCTTGTTTGTTGCATCCACCACACTTGCCAAGGATTCCCGACTCTTGACTCTGTTCCATTATTCAATGCTCCGAAGATGTATCAAAATTCATGACCCGGATGCTGTCCATAACCCCTCCGCCATGAGCTTGGACGAAGCTGTTTTACATATGAAAGAATTCAGATCCAGGCTTCCGAGTTTGTGCAAAGGGCTGGTCGAAATAGCACCTAGCTCGGATTGCAATCTTCTGTATCACGACATGAGTGATGAAGATAGATGCACCACCATACAGTGCAGCCACCGCTCGGTGTTTGACTTTCTGCGGAATCGCTCCGACAAAACCTCGGTTATAGTGGACTCCAAATCCTCTTCTGGAACCCGGGTCATTCTCCTGGTAGTTCACTCGGTCATCGAGATCATAAAAGCAATCCCATGGGACAAGACCCGAACCAGCTGGTTTGGAGGGAAGGGGGAAAAACCTGATTATTTGACACGTCTATTGGGGTCGATCCAAGATGAACTGCGCCGCAATCCCCAGTGGGGCAACTTGATCTTTCCGTTATTAAGGACACTCGAAGCGACTATTCTTCGCAGCCAAGGGGCCATAGCAGCTACCGTGCCATTCAACTCAATGACTTCGATCGATGTCCGACTCGAATCAGATACGTTGACTCTATTCTTTCTTGCGTTACAGCTAGACTTTTGCGAGTACATCCAGTGGGCGACGAGGAACTATCCTCGGTGGATTCTGACACGGGAAGCCAAGACATACATTACGGCATCATTCAGAAACTCTGAAGTTTTGGGTATGCCTTCAATGCTAGTCCACGGAGTACGTACACTGCCAACTCGATGCCTGACAGAGAGTGGGTGGTTGTCGATCAACGAACCACTCTCACCTGGATGGAAAGCCTTCCCAGGCGCCCCGCACCTCCAGCAGGCGTCTATGTGGGTCAGGGCCTTGATTTTCTACATCTTAGATTCTCGAGAGGATTTTATATCACACATGGGGAGACCCGACTTGCACGTCGAATTTGAGGCGGCATTGGCAGCCGGAGCAGAGCCCCGCATTCGATTCAACTGGTGGTCTCAAGCAGAGTTTGCTGTTCCACATCGCGGCGTCAATCGAGGAGCTGATCTGGCCCTGGGAACACCATCTCCAACCTCCCCACGTGTGCGAAACCAGGTACCACTTGGCTCTGAATTTGGTGTAACGATAGAAGTGGGAGACTCTCTAGAACCATATCTATTGCAGGGGGCTCGTACACATGAGTCACGGCGGCCAGAACGGGATGACACGAGTCTCATAATGTTTTTTGTGAGCCGTTTTCAAAAAGCGTCAGGGACAGCGACGTTGAAAGACATGGTTAAGGTACTGGTCAATCCTGACATGATACGACGTCAACGTCCCCTGGATGAATATAAAGGCAATAAAAGTTGGTATCAAGGAGAATTGAGGAGAGAATGCCGATTTCTCCAGGCTATTGACGATGCTCTTGCCAGGGTTGGTGTGTTCGATACCCAGTCAGATTTGTACCCCACGGGAACTACAAACGAGAATGATCAGAACCCAGGGACGGGAGAGAGTGAAGACGAACCATGCCAATCACACTGGTTGAGCCTTAGGGGTTACTTCCATAGCTGGCAGACCTTTATCGTTGCCCTCTTAGGTAAGACAAGCCTCCGCCATGCTCGTCTGCCACGGTCTGTAGGGAGACTGCAGATTACTGACTGATAATTATCAAGCAACCCTGCTCGCAGTGCTCTGTGCCTTCCTCATGCACCAACGGTAATGGAAATAGCTTAGGAGGTGCTGGTCGGACACAGCAAAAAGGAAAGAGACCAGATATTCACACCCGCAAAAACGGAGGGTAATACACCTATACTAGACAACTTGGAAATTACTAGGTAAAGTACTCAGGTTAGTACTAAACTAGTTATCTTATAGGCTTGTCCTATAGCATAATATCCTAAAGAAGGTTATCCCAGAGGAGGTTATTCTATAGGAAGTTGTTCTGTAGGAGGTTGTTCTGTAGGAGGTTGTTCTGTAGGAGGATGTCCTGTAGGATAATATCCTAACGAAGGTTATCCTAGAGGAGGTTATTCTATAGGAGGTTGTCCTGTAGGAGGTTGTCCTGTAGGGGTTTATTCCTTGGGGCTTGGGTGTACCCTCCATTTTTTCGGGTGCGAATATCCGATCTCAAAGGAAATGTCTGGTTATGCCAAACACTCAGTCATGGTCAGATAAGCCCAATCGCGCCTGAAACTGATGAGGAATCACTCTTTCTGCATTCTCGATAACGACAACATGATTGGAATTACGGATTGCTAGTGTCCGGAAGAAGACCAACTCTTCGTGTTGCCGGGTACGGACAGCCCTTCATCCTGCGCAGGATGCATCACGAGAATTGCTACCGTCTCGTCGGGCCTGCATTGGTTGATCAGCTTTTTAGGGTAGTATATCAGAACTGGCGGTCTGGAGGGCCCGATTTGCAGGACATCGTGCTTATTTGAAAGTTGAAGGAGTGTCAATAGACCATGACATGCTGAAGTTTCGCCGAGTCTGGCGTGAAAATTGGTTGGCCGCCCTGACACTTCGTGACATTGACGAAGGATTTTTGGTTGTGGCCGTGTTGCGGGAGGATTCCATTCCCGGGAATTTTGGGGTTGAAAGGGGTCACTTCAATGTTCTGAGTCAGCAATGAACGTTGTATTTTCTCGCTGCTACCTAATAAGCCACGAAGGATCGCTTTTCAAGGTTTACAGGTCTTTGTGGTTGGACAAATAGTCGACGTCTATTTGAGCAAGCCTGACTAATACGGAATAGGCATAATGCCGACCTGGAAGGCAATCCTAGGCTCTCGTACTCCCCGAGGCTAAGGCGCTACACGATCCATATGCTTGCAGATCGCCAATATTGTGTTTATTTTGCGTGGCGAGCGGGCAGATGGGCCGATAACCCCTGAAACCACCTAGGTGTCCAGGACCAATATCGTCGTGATGCCTACGCTAGAGTGACCTCCCCTAGGTATTCGCCATCAATATAAATATGTAGTCACAACGCCATGAAAGAGGCCTGAAGACAAAGACCCATCATCATCAACTCTCTTCAATCATTCTTGATTCTTCGTATACCACTCACTTGTCAATCGCTATCAACAGCTCTTCAGCCCAAAATGAAGCAAACCGCAGCCCTCCCTCTCGTCATGGCGGCCCTCGCCTCCGCAGTCCCAGATGTCGTCGTTAAGGACCTCCCCAACACCTGCCAGACCTTCCCCGGCGCACACCAAGTCGGCCAGAACGGGTGCGAGGCCATCTTCCAGATCTACGCCGACTCGACGGGCAACGCCGCCGTCGACGGCAAGCACGCCACGCAGGCCGACTCCCCCGTCCCCGAGGCCTGGGGCTCCATCGCCATCGTCTCGGACCAGACCATCGCCTGGCCGCGGTTCAAGGTCAGCTCGTCCGGGTACCCGGGGATCGAGACCGACGCGCAGAACCCGGAGACGGGCGACTTCGAGTGGACGCCCATCAAGCTCAACGGCGACGTCGACAACCAGCAGCTGCTGTACGAATACGTCGTCGCGGGTTACCCCCTGACGCCGTACGCGCTCTCGGATGCCGCGACCGGCGAGGAAATCCCTGGTGTTTTCCTGGGCGCCAACGGGCAGGTCACCTGGGCCTTCTCCGTGGGCAAGGATCAGTACAACCGTGACCAGTATAACTTCCGCCTGCTTGCCAACGAGACGGCTCCACTGCGGGGTGAGGAGTTTGAGGGTTTCTTGAGGACTGGGGAGCAGTTTGAGGGCGTTCAGTAAAGGCACCATGGTCTATCTAAATATGGTGCAGTTTAATGTGATAAGCGATAGAACATGACGAGTACGACGGGAATGAAAAGTTAGAACCTTTGATTTTGAACCAATGCAGCGTAATAACTGTCTCCCGTGATATGTAATATGGCCACTATGCTTTCTTTCGTAAAAAGTCCACTGTGAACAGTATCAACCGTGGCTGGGCAGAACCTTTGCATAATTCAACATGAGTCAATGTTATAGCTGCGGGAAAAAAGGGAAAAAATAAGGGCGGAACCAAGAAGTGCGGGAGTCGTCCTCTGCATCAAAATGCTCTTCTATTTCCGATACTTTTGGTAGTTATTACAGTTGAAATTAAGCTGGCCAACTGTCACATAGGGAATGCCCAGGTGGTGCTTTGAAGTTATCACTCTGCTGGGAACACCGCAACATTTATTTCTGAGAAAATGTAGTATCTACCATAGCGCTCCCTATAGGGTTTTTAGAAACGATACATAATACCATCACTCATAGGAAGGGGCCATCCCTTACCTTCCTTAGGTCTCCTTACTATCTTTTTACTATCTTATTTATAGGAAGGTAGTCCCCCTTATTACTTCTAGGAAAGAACTATAAAAACTATAAGACTAGTATAATTTTTTAAAACTATAACTAAGACTACCCCTTAATAAATAAAACCGTAAAAAGATAGTTAGGAGACCTAAGGAAGGTAGAGGACGGTCCCTTCCTATAAGGGACGGTACCACATACTATTTCCAAAAACCCCCAGGTGCGCGGTACGATAGGTAGGTAATCAATGCATAGAACAAAGTAACATTCGAGATACGTAGTTACCTACCTAGGTAGGTACCTGGGGATGAAGCCCAGTGCGGTCCTTCAAAAATTTACTAAGCAGTGAACAAGGACCTTACTCTACATATGTATGCAATAATTTCTTCCTTCACAGCGATAGGAAATGCCTTCCATTTGACCACTCAGTTAATGGCAATAAGGTGACTATCATGCACTTATCCAGAAACAACTGGGCTTTAACAGTATCTCCACCCGGTTAATTTCCCGGGCTGCCAACCTTTGAGGAGGATATCATAGCCGTTGAAATTCAAATACATATTCGAAGGAACCCCCAATATATGCAGACCTCTGTACACCCAGGTACGGAGGTTGATATCACAGTGCCCACACCCGTACACTGTTCGGTGAGATCATATGAAGGCGACTGACTCACTCTTTCACGCTTGGACGCCCTGTCTTTCATGAAGGCCCAACCGTAAAGCATCTGCAGCGGCAAGCCCCGGGAGCTCCTGAGCATCCCGTATTGATTCGGCACGCTGCATACCACCCAATGAGCCCACCATTCGAGACGCGGGGCGTGACTGCTTCTTCACGTTTGCTTTCCAAGGCCGTCCACCTGGGCACTGTTGGGTGATTCGGCCCAACAGATGTATGACACATCACACTACAGTTGCCTAACCACATGTGACTCCTACCCAAAGATCGATAGATGCCAGTGAATCGTTAGGACTCCAGATGAGATCGGTAAACTGCAAAGGGATTTTGTTTTCGCGTGGCCTGTGTAGGAGATATCACAGCCTAAAGAGTTGCACTACCTCCAGGGCGGTCGTCACAGGGCTAGATTGGTCTGTTGCACTAACGGAAAAGGTTCCCGGCACACCTGACCGAGCTTGTGTACTAATAGATTGAAGTCATGCATCCTGGCATGCATCCATTCTCGTGCCTGATGATCCGCCGCCACGTCAGCACGCAACCGCGTACGAATGCCCTATGGCGGAGTGCCCTCGTGGCGGCCAGAATGTAAGCGCCGCCCATTTCCTGAGCCGCCCGGGGGCCGAACAGGGCATAAAGCAATTAATAGGTCATCGCACTCCGCGTAGGGATGCCGCCATGCCTTACAAGACATGTAAGTATTTTTCAGCTTGGATGGGCGCCTACGCAAACGCCAGGCGAGTTGATGCGGCTGTCCAGGGCACTGCCCTGCCGGCTACTGCCTAAGATCACCTTCTTTCTGCAAGTTTGGGGTCGAATGTGAAGCAGTGACTGATTAGCTTGACCAAAGAAGCAGTTAGCCTCGGCAGGAGATAAATAAATACATGTGTAGGAGTGTCTTACAGTGCTTGCGGCTGGTTGGCTGACTGACTCTCTGACGCGAGCCGCACAAAGCGGGGTTCCAGTTGGTGCACAAATGTGCCGCAGCAATGTTTAAATGCTGCGCTCTCAGCATCTAGACAATTGTCAACAGTTGGACGCTGACAGCGTCTCCCTATATTCCAAAGCCACATGAAGTTCGAGACTCGACTGTCTGTTACATGCTCGGCTTCTTTGCATCCAATCATAATGATCAACCAGTCACATTGAGCGAAATTATTGTCACATACTGGTACTGAAAACGAATTTGTCACGATCTGAAGCCAACAAGTACCACGAATTTTCCACCGTCTTCAGACGTATGGGGAATAGAAGCGATACCAGTCCCCATAGTCTCCAGAGTATACCTCTGGAATTTCACAGTGAATCTCATCAATTCGCATATTACGACAATTGCTAACTGTCTTGCACAGATGTGGCTGATCGAGACGTCCACCTTCCGACTCCACGAATTCACGAGGTCTGCCCCTCCCTATGCGGCCCTCTCTCACGTCACAGAAGAAAATGAGGTGCCACTCGAAATCCGGGAGCATGATAGAAGAGAAATATGCAACCAGAGCAGAAAGACAGTTGAAAGAGCTTGTGGGCAGGCCCGGACCGCAGGAATCTCGTGGCTCTGGAACTATGCTATGTGCGTGGACAACCGTTCATGGGCTTCGCAGTCCGAAGCCATCAACTCGCTGGCGCACATTTACCGAGGTTGCGAATTTACCATCATATACCTGGCAGACCTTGTCCTTGAAATGACAAGAGGTGAGAAACTCGGTGATATACTGGCTGAGTGTCGTTGGTTCAAGAACATCTGGGCGATCCCCCAGCTCATCTTTTCGCGGGCAGCATATTTCTTCTCATCTAATTGGAATCAAATTGGAACCAAGGTCTCGATGCTTCCGCTTGTTTCGTCTATTATTGGAATCGATCGGCATGCCCTAGAGGACTCGGAATGCCTAGAGGATTATTCCATCGCCAGGAGAATGTCATGGGCCTCCGAGATGACAGCCCCGCGGATTGAGGACTTTGCGTACGCTTTGCTCGGGATTTTTAACATCAGCATGCCTATAATCTACGGAGAAGGACAAAAGGCCTTTCTGAAACTTCAGGAAGAGATTTTGAAGGACACCAACGACCTTTCCCTACTGGCTTGGGACAGCCCTGGCAATCAGGAGTACATCGGAGTTTTCGCACCTTCCCCAGCTTGTTTCCGTCGGTTCCGAAACTGTATCACCACAATATCACGACCCAACAGAGAGCTCCCCAGTGGAATGGTCCCCCCGGAATTTCCAAACAGAGTGGCGCACCCAGAGCTTCCCAAAGGAGTGGTCCCCTTGGAAGCCCCAGAGCTTCACAATCGAGAAGTCTATATTCACTGCGCAGGTATAACAATTGAGACCATTTTTTGGAGATCGGAAGACGGCCTGTTCCTGCCTCTGGAAATCGAGGATGGAGTTGTTTGCCCGGTTCCTCTCTTGCCCTGGGACGGTTGCTTTGTGCGGAAGGGCAGTCCAATAGAATGGAAACCTTCAGGCCCAAAGAGTGCCGAAGTCGTCAGGATTTGTCTCCGGCGTCACGTAAGCGCCCACGTCTCCAGAAAGATAAGTACACATGAACGAAATCTCTCCAAGGAGCCATATCTCTGTCTTGATCCCATCGATGATACCAGTACCATGAGGAAATCGGGCCACTCCAACGTGGACTCTAATCATATCGAAGGAACATGCAACAAAGCCCCAGCTGTTGCAAGAGGTCCTCACATGGCGGTTCAGCATTCCTCATCCATGTCCAGTACGGTGCCATCGCCCAACGAAACCATTCCGGATTTTGGAGCAAACGGCTGCCTGAAGCCTCAATACAAGCACCTGTATCCTGCCGAGCGGTGCCCGGGCCGGGTGGCCGAGCAGCTCAATCAGCCCACGGTGCCGGGTATCTCCCCGACATACGTTGTGTCGTGCGCGGTCCCGAGCGACACCGTCACTCCCATCATGGGTGACAGACACTACAAAACAGACAATAATCACAGACTGGTGACCAAAAGCTCATTCGACAACGATGCGAGGCCATCATGCGCGCACAAAGCGGTGGTTGAGGCCCCCCACATCTCGGGGGACTGCCTTACTGGCGACTTGAAAAAGAGCGCTGTTGAGTCTCCGTTCAGTCGCCTTACAGGCCAGGCAGCGATCAATAGCCCTCAGATCACGACCAGTGAGAGTGGATCGCCACCTGGAGAAGTACAGGTCCTAGATGTGACCTCAATCACGAAAGAGTTGGCTGGCATTACAGCTGAGAAATTTCTTTCTCGACGTCAAGAGCCAACAAGGAAAAGGTCCCTTATTCCATGGGGCATCCAGAGTCGGAAGCGAGTGAAGCGTGCGGAATCTTCTGACCAGCTTGAAGGTGTCTACACCTCTGACTCTGATGATGGTGAGACGGTTCTGATAAAGAAGGCGAGGTACTTTGCCTGCCCCTTCTATGTGCGGAACAACCAGTACACAGAGTGTTTGAAAAGGCATCATTTCGAAAGCATTGAGGACGTCAAAGAGCACATATGTTGGGACCATCGCCGACCAAAATTCTGTCCGATTTGTAAAAAAGAGTTCTCTTCGGGTGCAGACCGAGATGAACACATTCGCCTGCGCGCCTGCGATGCGAGCACTGCAAACACACCTGACGGCATCACAGATGACCAAGAGGAGAGGCTGGAAAGAGAGAACGAGCCGTCACTGTCGGAGGAAACACAGTGGTTTCGGATCTGGGAAACCATATTTCCCCAAGTCGCGCGCCCGGCGTCGGCGTTTTATACAAGCCAGCGAGATGTGAGCATCTGTGCTTTCCGGAAATTTTGGCAGCAAAGTGGAGAGGAAACTGTCGCAAATTTTCTCGAGGCCAGTAACTGTCGGAGCTACAACCTGAGAAACGAGGAGAGAGATTTGCGCACCATCTATGAGCTCGTGATGGAGAGAGTGGTGAACAGGATCTTTGACGACTTCGGTGACCTAATTAGCAAGCATTAAACACTGATATCGGGTTGGCTCACTTTATAACATGAGCTCGCAGACTAGTGGGATTCACTGGGCATGTAATTTTCTTTGGGCTTTGGACAATGGGTACCCTCATTACATCGGATGCTAATATGAAGAGTTGGGATTGGCTTTCATACTTAACGTACTTGTGGCCTTAGCTGCTGGGAGGTGACGGGGTGCTGGTGTTATATCATCACCTCTGTGTGTCTCATCGGGGTTGGGAGTTGACATTCGATATTTCGAGGACAGAATTATTCATATGTACATTTAAACATCGCTAGCTATGTGTCCTATGGTGTCTGTGACCCGGGCCCCTGGTATGGTTGGCTAAAATTTCGCATTCCGACCGAAGGTATCCATCTATTGCAGCAAAGGAAAAGCCAAAATCACCCAAGAAGCATAATTTGGACCAATGTGGCCCATAATCACGAAGTGTTGTGAAGGCTTAAGCTGACCGGGATGGTGGTGGACGGAATATATGAGACATCTGGAGTATAGGCGGAAACCAGGATAGGAAGTGGTCTCGCTTCTAATCCCATCTATATAAAACGTATGTTGCGCTTTCATACGGTGGTAAACGCTCAAGACCAAGCCTTCAAAGAAGAAAATGCAAACAACAGTGCAGAGAGAATGCAATACGTGCTTTACAAACAAAGGGCCGCTGTGATTTGTTGCTCATTGGTGGCTTCCGTGGTCATCATCACTGGCATGGTCGAGGATGTGATCTGCATGAGCGTTTTCGTTGTTGAACCAGGCTAGCCAGTCAATGTCCGAGATATCTGGGAGATGCTCATCGGCTGCATGGGATGGAAGATTGGGGTCGTGCCCTAAGACGGCGGCTCTTTCAGCTGGCGCGGGCTGCTGCAGCCCCTGTGGCACAACGAATGTGGGGCGATTCAACGGGCCATGCGCAAGGCGATATGGAATCTGAGGACGAGTAGGAGACAGGGTGCTCGAACTGGGATCCATCTGCCCAAGCCTGCGCGTGCCTTGTTCTAATCTTGACCTAGTGGAGGGTGGTGGTCTCAGGTATACCGGCCTCGAAGCTTCAGGGGAATGGTGCTGCAGGACAGGGCTGCTGGTAACTGTGGCGACTCCAGGACTCGCCACGGATGGGGCTGGGGTGTTCGCGCCCATATATGAGGAGCCATCGGCTTCATGTTGGTCTTCTACATGATCTTCGTCCTGCACCACACGATCCCGGATCAGCACAATGACTGCTTCGAGAAATTGAGACATTCCAGCCTGTTGTTGTTCGAGATCCATGGCCATCGTCCATGGCTCGATTGGCAGTAGAACCCGCCAGAGGTCGCTGCCGAAGATCGTGTTTCTCCAATCGACTAAGCGCTGGATTTCAGGCGGGTCGTTCAGGAAGGGCGACTCTGGGCGTGGCTCCCCAGGGAACAGGACGTCCCATATCATGTACCAACGTTGAACCTCAGTGACATGGTTGGTACGGTGGTTGCGGGCGATTTCTCGTATCCTCTGCTCTTCGTCTTCGGTAATGCCTGGGTAGTTGAACGGAAATGGCGAGGGCTCGCATGTTCTCGCCCGGACATGTGCATCGCGCCGCCGCCTGGCCTCAGCCAGGCGCCCCGGGAACATGTCGCCACAAACGGGGCAATGCACTGGCTGGTAGTGTGCCCTTTCGAGCAAATGTTGCCGCACATCGCTCAGCCTAGTGAGCCTGATATATAAACAGCTGCTGTGCCGGGTCCTGTCATGAAGATAGTAGGGACAAGCGAAGCTGCGTGTTGCCTGCCTGACTGAGGTTGATCTCGAAGGTTGTGCAGGGTCCCTCCCACGTTTTCGCTTCGAACCTTGACGCCCCAGGGGGCTGTGAGCCAACCCGGGCGAGTCAAGACCGCCAAAAACGCCCGTACTAGGGTCGCATCCCCCGCTGGAGAAGTCCGGGCCATTCCCTGGACGTTTCTGCTCAGGCTCTGTGTACCCTGCGTGGGATGGGCCGAACCGAGCCAGTAGGACGGCGAGTGGGGGGTTAAAACCCCAGCAGTGGCCCGTTTCGCATTTGGTGTTTGGGAAGTATTCAGCTATCATAAAGATGAGTTCGTCCGGGAGGCGGTCTGGCCTATTAATCGAAACATCCATGCCAGACGCAAGGGTGGATTCTGACGTTTGCTCGGACATAACTGAGTAATTCGATTGCTGGTAACCTTGAAATGTTGGGCTAGTGCAGTGCGGACGAGGATATCGACAATGCTCAGGCGTGGCTAGTGAGACGGAGTGGTCGTCTGGTCGTCTAAAGCTCGGACTGTGTACTCCGTAAACTGATCTTTGTTCGTGCTGCTGGAAAGAAAGAGTAGGGAAGAAATATAACAACAGACCAAAGAGATATCTAGATTTCGGACTGGACTCGAAGGCTAGGACCGGTTCCTCGTCCTTTGGTACCATGAAGAAACATGGTGGTGGAATTAGGCCTTCAAATGATACTTTGTCCTGCCCTAGGGTAAAGGGCCGCGAACCACATGGCAGGCCACTGTACCTAGGTACGTATTTAATAGGTAGTGTACGCATCTGCGTGAGAGGCACGGTGTTCGTCCAATCCTGATGAAGTACGGGGAACAGAGACTCCTGTGATAGATTCTAGCCTGCATATTACTCCCACGCCCACCAGATGCGATGTTGCCTTGTTCAGCGTTGTGACTGAATGGGTGGCTGTGCTTGCTTGCTGCGGCGGGCGTGCCCTGACGTTAGGGGCGACAGAGGGCCGCGAGGGATGGGGATCTTGACACCCAAGCTAATCAAAACGGGCCTTTTCTAGGGACAGCATGATGCCGCTGCAGGAAGCAAAGTACGCAGAAAATGCCGAAAAGTCCTCGTACCGCAAGGCTCTACAAATCAGTCGTCCCTGGGCACAAATCAACCTCGTCCCTAGTGTGGTTGTGAGCGAGAACGCACTTGCGTGAAGCCATGACGACCTTCCACACCCGTGTAAACCTCCACATGAAGAAAAGCTTCTCGCATCTGCGTATACTGCGACGCGACTGCGTAAAGTCGAACGCGACTGCGTGAACCAGGAGCTTTTGAGAATAAAAGGGCGCCGTAGACAAGTCCCACAGATGATATTCTCTCATGATTCTCGTGAATACATGATCGTGACTTCATCAGTCAAAACTTTGGGGATGTCTACAAGTTACACGCTCCAGTTGAGTGAGGGTAGTTCCAGTGGGGCCATGCCGGCCCCTGCTGCGTAAGACACAGAGCCCATCCGCCCCCGAAACCCCACGTCGCCCCCTTGTGGCGCAGACTGATCAAGCCTCGTCTGGGCACACAGAGACAGGCATAAAATGCAGGCTGAGCGCCTGAACAACTGGCACCGCGACCAATCCACCACTGTTAATCAACGCCTGCTCACGCCTCGGCCACAAAATTGGGCTGTGACCAGGAAACAACAGGGAAAATCTGGGGCTGCGAGGACATTGTACCTATTTGATAGATCATTTAGGTCAGGGACGGGATCAGGGCCAACTTAATACACTTGCAACACGTTGCTCTCATGGGGTGGATGTGGGGACCGGAAGCTGACAGGGTCTCAGAACTAGCTGGAGAACAGCAGGTTGGGCAGCATGACGTCTGGAGCCTGCATGAATGACACGGCGCAACTTTGTTTGCCTGATGAAGATACCTCCTGATGTTCCTAGGTACACATGTAAATACCAGAGATCTTCGGGGCTCACTCAGACTCATAATGAAATGGGACGATACGGAGTAGAGGAATAAAAGACAGCCCAGTTTGATTCATTTATCCCTAGTAGTAGAATTTCGACCGTCTGCCAACCTGGCGAGCCGGTGCTGGCCAAGCGAGGGACAAATACCATGGACCTTTATGAAACCGGGCTTCAGGCTGTGCTCAGTGTGACACCCTCTTTGTCTATATCTATATTCTCGCTAGGCTGCACCTGGGCGCGTCCGCATCTGCGTACAGTATTGGCCCATTTTCATTCGGCACACCATTCACAGGTGATTACGCCCGACTGTGCGCAGCTGCGTACACGTGCCCCCGGGAAGTGATTGGTCACACCTACCGACGAATACATGGAGAATGCCCTCGCCAGTCTCGCCAGTCTCGGTGCACGACTGGTTCGTCGACCGAAGAAAACACAACATAACATTATGAACAGCATCGTGTCATTCCGCGCACTTGCGTCGCCCCCTCCCAGCGCATCATCTGACTTTTCGACGTGCATAATACTCCTCCTGGTAGACGATGCTATCAGGGCTGAGAACGCGAATATCGGGGGTGCACCAAGAACAGGCAATTGAGCAAGAAAGACAGAGGGATTCTCATTTTCAAGTACTTGATAGTAGCAGTCTCGAAAATGATCCGATCGCATGCTATGAGGCTCTTACCGAGGAGTTCTGTCTTCCTACCAGTGCCCACGAAATCGACCAGGAAATGGTCCTGCTGCCATCTGGGTTGAAGAGCGAGAGCCAACCTTTGGGCTGGGAAGTCTTCTTCGGGGTGCCTAGGTGAGACTCCCCGGTTTTCTGAAAGTGGATGGCGTTGTAACGAGTCGAGGCCCTAGCCCGAAATCCTTGAGCTCTGAGCCGGACTTTCCGCAATATGCTATGAAACCAAGCGACTTCAGCAACTCGCTTCACATAGACAGCGCCAAGCTTGAAACTACTGTCACAAAACATGAGCTGGTCGAGAAGCAAGAACATATTGGCGTCGCAGCAGACTCTACCGTGAGAGCTCGGAAGAGATCCTGTGAGGATGCGTTCGCGACTGAATCCGTGGAAAATGATGTGCCCGCCAAGCAAAGGGCAAAGACCGACACTGACAAGCAAGAAAAAACCCGCACCCAATATGCTTGTCCCTTCCAAAAGCTAGATCCAGTCAAACACCACGAATGTCTCAAGTACGCACTGCACCGCATCAAAGACGTCAAGCAGCATGTTTACAGGCGCCACAAGCAACCTGACTATTACTGCGCGCGTTGCTTTGTTGTCTTCCCAACTGCCGATGCCAGGGATGAGCATGCAAGGAGCAAGGACTGTGAGAACAAGAAGGCTTCACATTTCGAGGGGATAACAGACGTTGAGAAAGCCAAACTAAATAAGAGTCCATCTAGGGGCCTGGATGCACAGGAGCAATGGTTCACAATGTGGGAGATCATCTTCCCAGGGAAGCAGAAGCCCAACTCGGCGTTGGTGGGGAGCTACATGGAGGAGATGGTCCCAGTGCTGCGCAGCCTGTGGACGAGGAAGAACTCCAGCATCCTCGCCAGGGCTCAAAGGGACCAAGCAAGCCCGATGGATCTGTCTTTGATGAATTCTGTGGTTGAATTGATATTCGACTCTCTAGAGGCGGAGGCATCGACCTCGCTGGCGCAGGAAATGCCAGGGAACGGCTCTCAGACTGAATACCGCCTTGGGGAGGGCGAGTCGCCCGTGCTCACCGAGCCGCCTACAGGCATTACCGAATCACCAGGCCTACTCTACCCAGCTCCGCCATACTTCTCTGACGACGTCAGCGGTGAAACGGAGCCAGAGTTTCATCTCGGATCGCGTGTTGCTTTTGGAGAAGGGTGAGCCCTTATTGATGGAATTCCGTAACAGAGTGTCCGCAAGACCAACGACCTCCTGAGCGGATGTTCAGGGACTGTTCAAGCTATCCAACCAATACTGAACCTGTCAGCACAAGTGGTCAATGAAACTGTCCCCCGCACTATGGGCTCGCACCAAATTGTTTGGAATGGGGGTGGTTTCACGACGACCCATATGCAGCCACAGGCAAAGATTCATGCCGGATATTGTTAGACTTTCATTTGTTTCTGAGTGGTCATCTTGTTCTATTGTATCAGCAAAGCAGTATCACTTTCCACTTTGAATTTGGATTCATACATAGAGAGCGACGTTTTCAATGCGAAATCATCAATTCCAGGTTTTGGATACATGGAAGTCTATGAAGGAAAACACGGCCGGTCGTCGCACTGGGTATGCTCTGGTCGGCCAATTTGCAAACGTGTGACAGCTACGAGCCTGAAGCCTATAAATATTGCTAAATATTCAGTGCTTCTATTCCGTATATGTCCGAGGCGACGTCGACTAAACGCTATTCCTTTCTATAGTGCCTGGGCAGCACCCTTGGTATATCAGAGGTGCATCTTGAGTAGTCTAATATTCTGGAGCCTAAGTGATAGCCTCCTGCGTTAGGATCGTATCTCTATACTACTTATCAATCGTCGAGACGCGTAAATCATCACCTGCTAAGCACAGGCAGTTTCTTCCCTTACAACCAGTTGTCGTGGTCTCAATATTTGCTCTGGGCCTATTTCATCCTCGAGCGAAAGTCCATGTCTGTCTAATTATATCTGAGATGGTTCAACATTATAAATGAAAGAACTTCCTTTCCATGCCCTCTCCTGGGGAGGTCCATGCCTTGATTAAACTGATCCAAGGATCGATGAACACATGTGCTATTCTCACCACACATGATACTCCTGGGAACGCATTCCTGATTGACTTGGATCGGTGGTCTTCGCATATTCCGCTTCGCATCTTCTACCTATAGATAAACGGTATTTTCCAAACATTTGAGCCTTGAATCAAGCATATCCAATGATGCATTTGAGATTTTAAGCCAGTGTCATCACATCGGCACAACTACTTGACTTAAGTACGTTAACAAGCACCGTTTAGTGCATTGTTGAGTGTATAACGTGAGTGGGAACAATCCAGGAACAACTTTTGGCCTCACGGTGGTTCAAGCAATCAATTGGCCAAAGCGTCATAGAATTCGGTCACGATTCTGCCCAGGTGTCTGACTTAGCAGAGCTGGACTCTCACTGTCTTTTATTACATTCGATATGTCCGTAGCGACACATTATCGCCGGCCGGGGTGCTTCGTTGGAGCATTGTGCGAAAGCATGAGAGACTAGGCGGCCCTGGGGGAATTGACTTCGTTGGCAGGCAATGTTGCCAGTACGCAAGAGCGTGGAAGGGTATTGTACTGAGTCAAGAAAAACATAGCATCTTCCCTGCCTCCCATCACCAGACCAGACCGAAGTTTCCAGTTGCCTGGACCAGCATAATCGCTGTGAGCCAGATGACCCTCCTTAGAAGGAGATGGTGGTGCAGGCGAGCACAGTATGACCATCCTTCGACAGCTGTTCCAAGTAGAATCGTTCCCATTTCGGTGTGTCAGCCACCAGGCAACATCCGTAAATCCGTTTACCGGTTACGCAGCTGTGCACAGGTGCAAGAGCAAGAGGTGGTGCCTTTTTTAGACATGCAGCTGATGACATCTGAAAGCCCAAACTACCTGTCATCCGTGGATGGCATGGCGCATGATGGGTGCAGCCCTGACTTAGACCGAGGGGGATCGGCCTTGACCAATTGGACAATGCTTGTACGCGATGGGGGCTGGCTGATGTGGCCCGCCTAATCAGCGTGTCCGTGGTCCAATCATGTCCCATGCCATTATGCATCGGGGAGGTCGGCGATTGGCCACTCGGACCAGCACAACGGTGCCGGTGCTCGTGTTCCAGATTTAAGTCTCCAAATCCAGAGCAAAGGAAGTTGGCTGTGTCGTCTGAGTTCAGTCCAAACTGGAAAAACCTCAACATGAACGTATATCTCAGCCTAGGGGATGCCCCCGCCAAGTGAGAATGTGAGCCAGGGCCCATTTTGCATTTGCTCCAACGTTCAATCTCGCCACCATCAGAAGGGGGCGAGTGAATCCAGTGCCACTCAAATTGCCACCCTCAGAGAGTGTTATTCAATACGTTGAGGTAGATAATTTGCCACAAAATTGTGAGAGACCCTAGGAAGGATATTGAGACTTTGAGCTGACGGCGTCAATGGCACGAGACCATGTTACTGCTGAATACCATCAGTCTAAGGCTGAGTGAGTTTCAGATCGATGAAATACCGCCATATGCAACATTCTGCGCCAAGTGGGGTGACGGAGATGTCGTGTATGAGGACTTGTGCAGTCCTCAGAAGGCACACCGAAGACCCGGATTCCTGGCCCTGCAGAAGGGATGCTCCGAAAGTCACAGCCGTGGCTTCGAGTGGCTATGGAGCGACGCCGTCTGCATCAACAAGAAATCACCCAATGCACTCTCTCAGGCCTTGAACTCTTTGGATAAGATATATCGGAGCGCAAGCCTCTGCCTCGTGCACTTGCATGACCTGTTTGACTCCCAAGCACCTGACTTCGACGTGGAACGTCACTTCTCACGATGTTCTTGGTTTGAACATGTTTGGATGTTGCCACCCCTCGTGTTCTCCAAGAAAATGTGTTTCCACGACACACAATGGAATCTCGTAGGTTGGAAGTCAGACCTGACTCCACTGTTATCACGATTGACGTCCATCAACGAAGCCGTTCTTGAGACCTCGGATGCCCTGACGAGGATTGCCAACAGCACGAAGATGACATGGGCGGCAGGACTGTCTTCAAACCCCATTGAAGACGCCGCCTATTCACTTCTTGGTATCTTCAATGTCAGCATGCCCATCATGTATGGAGAGGGCGTGGAATCTTTTATTCGCCTCCAGGAAGAGATCTTCAAAAGCACCACTGATTATTCGCTTCTTGCATGGAAACCGCAGACACGCCAACCATACCGGGGACTGTTTGCCCATTCCCCATCGGAATACACCCACCTCAAGCACCGATCGGAAGGCGTTCCAACGATCAAAGGACAACTGGAAATACAACCAGACGCCATTCACGTGCAAACCGGTCTCGGTGGCAGAGGAAATGACCTTCTGCTTCCGCTTTACGCGTCTAACAAGCCCGTGATGTGGGTTGTTTTGACACTATGGGACGGCATATTCGTCCGGAATTGTACGGAGACGGTGCCCGATGGTGCTGAGATCTCCAATGTCTTTCCCAGAGACATCCGTGTTAGGAAGGACTTGACCTCTGATATATCGGGCAAAATCTCATTGCACAGAGACAAACCTCAAGAGAAGCGGTATGATCCGCCATAGAGCCCCACCAACACTCAAAAACAAGATCCTAACAGAACCCTCAGGATTCCGACCAGTGGCCACTCCAAGTGCCATTCTGCGTCGAATCGAGATTGTCAAGATACCACAGCGAGTAGCCACATTGCATGGTCTGCAGCTGCCGAAGATAACGAAGCTACTTATACGTTTACCGGTGGTGTCCCAGGTAAAAGGCGCCCTCTTGGCTTTGTCGAACAAAGCACGGAGGGCAGCGTCAGAGAAGATGGCGAAAGAGTGGCTGCCCCCCTTACTCAGAGCGGATCTGAGGCAGGCGATATGACTCCCGGTCGGTCCCCAACGGGCAGTCCAAGCAGCAGATGCGGATCGAGCCATTCAGACTTGCCCTCGACGTTGGACGCGGACCATCCATTCGCGGCAGTGACTGGGGATCTAAAAGCTGTCTTGGTTGATCGTTTCCTATCAACTTGTGATTCAAGACCTAGGAAAAGAACTCTTCTCTCATGGTCCACCACAATGCGCAAGAGACCACGGCTGTCCTGGTCCGACCCTTACATGGACGTCGAGCTGGCGTCAGATTCCGAGGACGTGGACACCATTGTCGTGCACCACTCAGGCGAAAGGGTGAGCACCTTTGCCTGCCCTTTCTACCTGTTGGACAAGGAGAGACACGAGAAGTGCTTGACCCGGCACAGCCTGTCAACGATCGACGCGGTCAAGGAGCACATGTGGGCGTCGCACCGCCGTCCTCAGTTCTGCCCGATCTGCAAGGAAACCTTTGCGACCCTCCGCGCCCGGGACGACCACATCCGGGGCCGGAGCTGTGAGCCCAGGGACTCTCCAACCTTCGACGGCCTCACCGACCGTCAGATCCAGCAGCTTGCTCGACGGGGTTCACGCCATTCGTCGAGGGAAAGCCAATGGTATGAGCTCTGGCATGTTGTCTCGCCGTCGGGCCCGCGACCCCTCTCGCCGTACTACTCCAATGAGCAGGAATTCCGAGTGGTGGCTCTGAGGCGCTTCTGGGAAGCCAACGGCCACGATATCATCTCCGACTTCCTAAGGGAAAGAAACCTTCAGGGGTGGGAGGTGTCGGACGAGGAGCGGAGTCTTGCAATTTTGTACAACGTTGTTCTTCACGATGCTATTGATGAAGTCTATCGGAGATTTGCTAGGGCCACAAGGAACTAGGAAGAATACCGATGATGGTGTAGTAAATGTTCGTTATTTCGAGTAGCTAGTCAAGTCATGTGGATCTGTTCCCATACGCACTCATGCACAATTCCGCTTATTCCCTTGAAAGTGGGAAAAAAAAAGAGACACAAAAGAAAATGTAAGCAAATAATTAAATCGCGTTCATGGCCAGTGTTGCCGCCCACTACACTTAGTGTAATCAGTGTAGCCCAGTGCGTGCAAATAAGCTCACTACACCATATTACAATGAAGGTACTTGTATTTTGAACCACATTGTACTATACTAGACCTGAGTGCGAGCAGTGTAGTGGGATTAAGTGTGGGGATAGGTGGGAGCAAGGAGGAGGAAGGAGAGGGTGAAAAGGAAAAAGAAAGTGGAGACTCTGAGCTGACGCCAGGAAAGTCCGCCACAGTGGTTGGTAAGACAGCTTGGCATTCATTACTTTAATTGATGTGCACTGCCAGTGTGGCACTTGCTCATACTTCTAGACATAGGAGTATATAATATGTGATTACGTGGTTTCATGGCTAATCCCCACAGCTATGAACCGTATGTGGCGCCTTCATACATCAATGCTGCGGGCATATTGCGAGACGGAGGAGCAGCTGTTCGCGAGCTCTTTCCCTCTAGGTCGCCCCTTCTCAACAAGCCCTCCACGCACAGCTTCTTCCACTTTAAGCCGTAAAAGAAACGTTGTTGCGGCTCATTTTTCGAGCAGCTCATTGAAATGAGCCTCTTAGGAGCAGCTTACCCTTAGTTGAACGGTACATATGCTGCTCCTTTCCCGAGAGCGGATAATAGAATACTCCGGAAGGTGTATGCACCGCTCATGAGACCCACCATACGACGCCATATGTATGGTGGTAACCGCTCAGGACCCAGCGTGTAAAACACGATGCCAATAACAGTGCAGAGAGAAAAGAAAATATGTGGGCACGTGGCCTCAGCCTCGTGCCGCTTTAACAATGTACTGATGATGTCTTTATTGGGAGAGACCCTGATGACATCTGGAATCTTGCGCCTGGAATGAAGTCCACGAACGCTTCCGCCATTGATATCGGTTACCATCAAATCCTGGCCATGTTGGCGGGATGGCGAGGAGATGGTCGATGGCCAATGGCACCACACCAGGTACCAAGCTAGCGCCCCTCGTCGGCGGCGTCTGCATTGAAGTCGCCCCAAAAGCTCGAGGTGTTCTGACCGTAGTTGTTTGAGATCTGAGACATTGACACGTATTGGGAAGTCTCAAGAAAGTCTTCACTATCTGGGAGGCTTTCTGGGAGGCTTTCGATCAATTCCTGAACCATTGCATCTGTGAGAGACTGTGGGCCAGAATCGAAATGTGGCATGGATGGGCTCCCTTGAGTGAATGAATTGTTATCGGGCTGTCCGCCTGGGGAGGGGCTTGCGTTTGTTGGCTGCAGCAGCCGCTGGCTGGGGCCTGCAGCTGCTGCTGGTTGGTCGTATTCAGGTGGTAATAGAAACCCGTCAGCGGCTTGGGCAGACTGTCTGTTGGCTGACGGGGGCGCCGCCTGGTCGGGCCCAGGCTGTGAAGAGTTGACCGCTGGGGCGGTCACAGGGGTATTGGTCACTGTAGCAGCTGAGACTGCAGGCGTGAGCCTATATGAGCCCCCATTTATTCGTCGATAGTGAGCTGAGAGACTGTCTAGTATTGCGGCGAAGGTGTTTCGTGACATGTTTAGAAGTGACGGGCTGCTTTCTCTTGCACTCGCAATGATCTCTCTCCATCGGTCGCCAGTGAGAATGAATCGGTTCATGTCGATTATCCATTGGACATCGGGATGATCTGTAATGTAGGGTGAGGTTGGGGGAGTGCTATCCGGAAATATGATGCGCCAAATCTCGAACCACTTCGCCCTGGCGGAGTCTTGGGGGTCCCCACGCCGACCGCTTCTGTTCGTAGCTATTGACCGGATGGCGACTATTTGGTCTCCTGTTACTCCCTGGCGAGGCGGCGGAGGGTCTGGCAGTGGTTGGCAACTTCGAAGTTGTATATGTGCGTTGCATCGATCGTCAGCCGACTCGGGTTGGTCGCCCTCGAATTCTTCCCCACAGCTGGGGCATTGCGGCGGCAATGTGTGAATCCGCATAACGTGTAAGCGGACATCGACGATGCGGTGCAGTTTGTAATTTCGCAAGCAATTGTGCCACTCGTAACAATCGTGAAGGTAAAAGGGGCACGCGAATTGGAGCCCAGACTGGTCGGAATCCAGCTTTGCGTTTTTGCTCGGGGGCGCTTTCTCGTCGTCGTCTCTTCCGCGCTTTCTCGGTCCTTTTGGACGGTGGTCACTCGATGCGCCCATCGAGTTTAGGCGGTTTTTCGCCGCGTCAGAGGCACCACTGGTTCTGTGGACCGCCCCCGACCTGCAAGCACCCGTTGGTTGCCCCGCTGTAGTTTCGCCCGCATGAACCGAGACACCCCATCGTGCTGCCAAGTACGGACACCGCAATGCGCGGCCTAGTTCCTGAAGGCAACGATAAAATGGCCTGAGTAGTGGCAGGGAAATATGGGCAGAAAGAACTGAGTAAATGATAAAGTGAGGGAGGAGGTATAAGACACAAATGACGATGTTGGCGAAGAGAATTGAGGCGTTCTCAATCACTTTCGGCTCGTCAGGCAATTATCGACGATGGACGGCTGGAGCCAGTAGGGGCGGGCGAGCTTACTCATAGACAAGTCCATACTTTGATGCCTGACAGCACAGCCTGTCCCCTCAGAGGACTCGACCTACTCCTATGTGCACTGTTGGTTGTATATATAAGTTGGATAATGGCGCAAGCCAGTAGAGAGCGCGGCGATGCTGAGGTCGAGTGCACGGCCACAAACCTCACAAGTTCCGGGAGCGTGGACCAGGTTTAGAACACCGCACCGTATTTCCAAAGGAGAGAGCCGGGAGAGAGGACGCGGGGACACAAAAGGGAGCCTGTGTGTTGTAGTCCCGTGCGGTCGACTTGTTTTATTCCTCCTACGCCTTTGCGTATTCACCTGGGCGGCCATTCGCTGGACCCTCTCACCCCAGGAGCAAAGGAGGCAAAAGGTTTGCCTTACCTAGGTACAGATGTTCTTCCAATAAGTCTTTACCGCCAAGGAGCAGGGGGGGCTGTGTCTCTCCTATTCATGCAGTCACCTGGCTGTACTATTAGACTGTGACCAGCCCCTAAAAAGTAGTTTATATTAAAAAGTTCAAGCCAAAGACCAGTTATTCTCAGTGGAGCTTGAAGTACTGTTTTAATATATTCTACGTGCTGGGGGTTGGTATCCATAGACTTGCTTGTAGTTGGAACAGCCCCCCCTGCTCCTTGGCGGTAAAGACTTATTGGAAGAACCTCCGTACATTGATACGTGTGGGCAGCTAGCCAGTGCCTGCATCTCAAGCTGCATGTCTGTCGGCTGACACCGGGGCCCAACAGGACTGCAGGAGGGCCCGGGGTGCTGAAAACGCCTAATGCATAGGGGAGTGGGTCAGGCATTCTCCGGTTCGCGTCTGTTGAAGAACCCAGGTTGACTACTCGGTCCGCGTCCCGGCGTTGATTGCACTGCGGGAGCCGCAAGTTCGATAAGGGGGCCCACCCCGCGACCTTCAAGTAGCACTCGGCCTAATGCCAAGCACACATCTGTGTAGATGTGCGTGGTTCGCGAACCATTCTTGAGCCCAGGGCCGGTCCGACTGACTGCCCGGCGGACGATCAGTCCACCCCGCCAAGGAGCAGGTGCAAGTCCCAGCTCCTCTGTCCTGAGCTCCTACACAACAGCGCAAACGCAAGTGCGTAAAGATCTGGCTCCCAGTATGAGCTGGCAGTCTCACACGCAGCAATCGCTCTCGCAGCGTGGACGGCGAAGGCCGCCAGAAGTGCGCAGTTGTGTGGTCATCTGGGTTGATAAAAGTAGCCCAGGTGCCGGGCCAGAGGCTCGATTGCTTGAGAATAGTTCCTCAGAAGATGTCACTTTTAGAACTCTTGAAAATATCTTTTTTCGTTGTTTTGATCTCCAAGTAACTAGTGCAAAATGAGCAAAAGCGATCGGTTTCAGCTTACCGAAACCACCTGTACTCTGCAGGAATCGGACTCGTCATACAGCAGATCCGCAGCTGTGTAAGAGCCCAGCCAATGTTCCTCCTTACCCCCACCCCCCCTGAAGTGAGCGGTGCGAACAGGGCCAAGCTGACCACACCCCCGCCATAGTAAGGCCTATTATCAAGCCGAAAGTCTGGGGCGTTGGCAGCAAGATGCGTGCCCCCCAATAAATCAGCAGATTCTGCAGGCCGCGTCACCTAGCAGACCGAAATCAAAAGTGCGAGGAAAGAAGAAAGAAGCAGCACATGCTGTAGCAGAATTTGAACGCTCAATGCATCGGGGATAAGGAAGACCAGAGGCTGGTTGAGATGTGCCAATAGGTACATTCAGGAATAACTACTTCGGGCAGAATTACTTGCAGATTTGGCGCTAGATTCACGACATCATGTACAAATAGGAGAATTGCGGTAGATCGGTATTATGGAGAGTCCAATTTACAATTGAAAGGGACAAATAGATGCAATCGCCCTTGACTTTGTTCCCTTGACTTTGCCAGTGTGATTCGAGACTCCTCATCCTCATCTTTGTGACCAGGACACAACCCTCGAAACCGAGCGTACTACGTCAGCGGCGCCGGCTAGGCGGTGAGGGTTTTACAACGGCCAAGTTAGGCTGACTGCGCCCGACTACACAGCTGCGTACTCGATCGCCCTGTTCGCCTGGCCCCACGCGGCGGTTCGCCCGGGCGAGTGGAGTTTTTCCACTACGCAAGTGCGTACTTACTTCCCCAACCGGTGCCACGGGGTGTCATGCACCACCGGTGATATTTTGAGGAATATCGGTTTAACAGACAAGCATTCAAGCACGTTTTCTCATCTAACGAAGTTTGAAGGGACTTGAGCTGAATAAATTTACAAAGACCAAAATTTAGACGCGTATATTGCATGTTATGCGAGCAACCGGGCATCCAATCTTGGCCTATCTACCCTCGCCAGTGTTTCCTGGAGTCTAAGCCCGGCATTTGTGCCTGCGACACTTTTATGGCAATTCCGTTGAAGCAATAAATATCAATCCAAAATAAACTCGTTTGAGCAGCGTCTAGAAAATCCCAGAAGTGCACTGGTCGAGAATGTCACGAACTCCGTCGCAGGTCAACAAGGTCCACCACGGGAGATATCCGGGAACGATTCGAGCCGATGAGAAACCACGAAAGTCCTTGCCCCGATCACCGGTTCTCATAGCGCCGCGACCATCAGTTTACGATGCCTTACAACCCGAAGAAATTCGACTGATGGAAATCAGTCCGAGCGAAGACCGCAGTGCGCCGATTCGAGCGCGGCTTCGCCGAAAACCTCTGCGGTGCGCCGCGTATGAAGCGCTGTCACCTGACCTGCGTGGAAATGAAGAGCTGCAAGCATGGGTAGAAGTCAACGGGCAGCCACTCTCGGTCGGCGGTAACCTCTTGAAGGTTTTGCGTGGCCTTCGACTCGAAAACAAGCACAGAACACTCTGGGTTGACTCCATATGCGTGAACCAGAACGACATCGAAGAGAAGGGAGAACAAGGCAGATTGAGACCGAAAATATTGGAGCAGGCTATCGCAGTCATACCTTGGCCGTGGGACAGGAGTGCAGACGAATCTGCATTCGAAGAGACGGTTCTCACGCCGCCCTGGTTGATTCCAGGGAGTACAACGGGTCATCCTTCGTGGGACTCGGCTCTTTTGCAGGCTGGCCACATGGAAACGGAGCATTCTCTCAACTTCACCGACTGTCAAAGCTTTGTTGAATCGCCACCGGCCTTGACTTCTAGCCCGAAGAGTCCCCAAACAACTTCCGCTTCCTCAAGTCCTGGATTCGGGATAGATCCCCCATTTCAGGAGTTGTGTCTGGAGGCCGTGCCATATCAATTCGGATGCGGGATTCCCTTCTTGGGTGGCCTGGCTGGTTCTCACTATCAACAACTACTACTGGATGATGAGGTTGTGGGGAGGACCCCGAACACGTCTGATCGTAAACGCCCGCGTATGACAGCGTTCCCAGATGAGCTATCAGCTCCCCGTCAAAGGAAAGCCCAGCACACGCTACCCCTGAGCGTAGGACAGAATGAGGGAGGGACGAATGTGGTCTTTGCTTGCCCCTTCCACAGATCCGATCCACAAAAATATCACAGATGCCTCAAATACACTCTCAACCGCATCAAGGACGTCAAGCAGCACATATATCGGCAGCACAGCCGGCCGACTCTTTATTGTGCACGATGTTACAAAGTATTCAGTACTACTGAAGACCGCGACGACCACTCCCGCCGTGCGGACTGCGAGAAGCGGAGCCCGCCTGAATTTGAAGGGATCACGGAGCAACAGAAGAACGAGCTAAAGAAGAGTTCGCCGAAGAAAAAGCCCCTGGAAGAACAATGGTTTGAGCTGTGGGAAGTGGTGTTCCCTGGCCGTCAACGCCCACAGTCAGCTGTCATCCGCAATTACGTCGAGGAGATGGTACCATTGCTGCGGGACCTGTGGAATGACAAGAAGTCCGAGATCATATCAGGTGTCATGGAAGCTAGGGATGGACCTGCTGTAGTTGACGTCGGCTTGATAGCCAACATCATGAGCTCTGTCTTCGACAGATTCGAAGCAGAAACAGCCCGCTCGTCGCAGGGGTGCCATACCGAGTGGCCTGAGGCTCGGATTGGATCACCGCAGCACTCAGCGAAGATCGATTCAGGGCTCCGTGGAGCAGAGTCCGGTTTCAATTTCGAAGACCCATTCGAGACGCAGTATCTATCGCAAATCGGGTTACTGGACATCTAATCCCGTTCCGCTGTCGACACAGGGACTCCTGTTCCTCACAACCCGCCCAGAGTCTGCTGAATATAGACCTCGCAGGTTCATTGCAACCGCTCGCAAATTCTTGTTCGTAACAGGTTGAAGCAGAAGTGGAAAAGAGCTAGCATGGATGATATGGGATGCCACTTAAATGCCAAGTTGGTAAAAGCAACCGGGCGCTGATTTTCCAGGCGGTGGTCACAGAACGCCTCCAAGCGGCCTCGACATGAAGCCTGACGTCGCTGGGTATGCAGACTGCGGATGGTTTTCAATTACTGGCCATATCGCACTGATACTCATGCGGGTGCAGTTCCTCTTATCGCCACTGAACGGTTGTCGCCGGGCCCTCATCTCTCCCACAAGGCTTCTCATTCAATAGCCCCTCACAGAACCATCTCGTCACTTTAGATATTATTATACCCCCCCCCCCCATTTTCAATCTCAACTATTGGATACCGGAGTAAGTCAAATGCTACCGCCCGGATGCAAGGAATTAGTCTAGTGTGTTGGAATACCTTTGAGGCACGCGTTGGGTGTAGGGTCAAGTAGACGGGATAGCACCAGTCAGCTAGTTGTGTACCACCGTGTTCTCTTGGTCCGACTTAGATTTAGTTTCTTTTAATAGTTCTGTTCTTTTTACTTGTCCCGGAGTCACTCAATGCTAGTTCTCATTCACCGACATTTGTAATTCCCGCCTCGAAGGTCAACGAGGATTATGGTCCCATGAAATCACCAGCACAGTCACAGATGCTTCAGTTCTCACCTCATAGATCGGCTTCATCTCACGACCACAATCAAGTACTTATAAACACCCATGATGCATCACGATCGTGCTTCAGAACTGCTTTGTGTAGACTGTGTAGTCAGCAAAAGAATCATCCAATCCCGCAATGCGCACGCTCGCCTTTTAAGTCGTATAGAAGTGCTCCATGCAACCACAGCCACAAGAGGAACCGTCTTCAGAGAGAGAACTGTAAATTACAGGAAACAACCATTACAAAAGTTCACAGAACCCTGGTAAGGTAGGTAAACAACCAGTGGGCCCTCAGTCACTCGTGCACACACACTCACAGCAATTTGCATCAGCGGCCGCTGTTGGACAAACGTCTTGAACCAGTCGGCCGATCCCCCGACGGACCCGGCGTTGGTCGGTACTTAAGCGCAGCTGAACACCGATTCCTGGGTGCCACTCTCATCGCACTCAGGCTTCTCTCCATGGATCCATGGATCGCATACATCTTCTTTCCATACTCAATTTGACCGGTCAGCGATACGAGACATGTCGGAGTACACGTCCACTATCGAGGGTTTCCAGCGCGCCATGAAATGCTCCCTCACCGGCCCGCCTCAAGAGACAATGAAATTTGTCGTGGCTACTATGACGCCTACCTTCTATCACCACGTCAACGGAACATGTGTGGCCTATAACACCTACGTTAAAGAAATAGAGGATTGGTGTGGTAAGGTCAGCCACTATGAGTCTATAGTGTAAGGTAGACATTCCTGACCTTCACCATTGATATGTCCAAGCTGCTCTCGATGCTGACACGCCACTCACCCCACAGGCACGAGTTCCTCCGCGATAGAGACAAGCTGGCAGCTTTCATGACTGGAAAGATCAAGGTGGATGGAGCTGATGTTGAGGTTGAGAACTCAATGTTTGCCAAAATCGATAGCACAGGCAGGATGGAGTGGCTTCGGGAGAGATCTGTCTGGGGCTCTGCGGGGGCGAAACCTGATAAGGGCACTGGCTTGCATTCAGGCATGTCGGCTCATGACTGAAGAGTGTCTTAACCGCATTACAGATCAGGTAAATTGATCAGAAGCCACACTAGTCAGTCAAACGATGGTCACTGCATGCCGTCTCTTACAGCTTTGCTGCCACAAAGTCGGGTGGCTTGTAGTGTCAGACCAGCCTTCGGGCGGATGCTGGAGTAGTGGTGGCGTTGCAGGGGGATTTCAAGTTGACGTGGATGCTAGCCTCAAATCGGGTATCGTTCAAGACTGACTCGTTGTTCTCTATTCTACTTCGTACCGTTGCGTTTGTTCCGCATCCATCTCTTGTGGTCGCAACGTTGGGCCGATATGGTGTGTCTCACTCCATCCTTTGTGGGGTGCTGACAGCTCGTGAGTATCCGACAATGCCGCAATGGAAGACATATGCTTGTAGCGTCCTGTTTTCTGTGACAGATCTTGCCCTTGTCTCTGTTTCTTTTTCTTCCACCTCAGCACTAATACAGGCACTGCGAGTATCGCCACAAGTACGACACCAGCAACGGCTGCTCCAATTCCGATGCCCGCCACTGCTCCGGTGGAAAGACCAGAAGGCTCTGGCGAGTCGGTTGGAAGGGTAGTCGTAGTTGATGCGGCAGTTGAGCCCGGCGGCGGTGTCGAAAGGGCTGTCTCGGGTTGGGTCGTGGATGAAAGGCCGAAAGTTCTCTTTGATGCCAGCAAGTTAAAGTCTATAATATGTGGTTATGAGATGCGGCGTCAAGAGCGTACCGGTCCTGAACTACGTGTATCGTTAACGTAATTAAAAGCTGGCGAGTTTTTATTTAACCCCTGTCTATCCTCAGATTCTTCGATGTCGAACCAGCACCGCGTATCACCGTATTCGGCAGAGCTTAGTGTCACTGGAAACGAATCGTTACCCGCAGGGACCCTTATGGTGTCCTCTAATCCTGAAAAAGACGGTCAATCAACCGAAGACGTTGGAAATGAAAGAGTACTACTCACGGGAAACATTGCCTGGCCTACACCACGTGATGAGATACGGCTCGGTGAAGTTGGTCTCGTAGCTCAAGTTGATGACGTCCCCTGGAAGAAACTCTAAATCGTCTCTATCAGGATAAAGAAACCTGAGCGGCTGAGCCGCACCGTTGCCTCCACTTATTCCGGCCAAGAAAAGTAGCAATGGAAGGAGGTGGCGTCGCAGCATTGCGACAAATATTGACAGTGGGCGGGTCCTAGGTGCCTCGAGTTCTGAGATATCAGCACCAAAGAGGAGCTGCACACGTTGGGCAACTTCGCGTAATTAAGATCGAAAATGCAACGTGACCTGAAGAATTCGGTTGCAGACGCATTTGTAGGGACCGAGTGGCATCGGATGTCTTAGCAACGTCAGCCCAGAGAGGCCTCGTACGTGGGCCAATGCTGTTTAGGTGCATTTAGAAGATTAGGCAGGCCAATGGATGGAGCCAGGTGTGAGGGTAGGATTAGCCCCCACGCACGGTTCAAATGCTGCAATTGCCCACTTGCCTGATCCTCATTTGCCGAGATCTGTAGCTGAACAGTTGGTGTTACATTACCTAGGCCCAACACATACATCCAGGCAGCTAGGCACGGACTCGACTTCGGACTTTCTTCATTGCTGACTGGGGGCGTATGATCCTTCATCCTTGAATCAGCCTTACCGGAAATAATATTCCCATTTCATTACTCCCAGATTTGAACTTGCTACATCACTGCTATCGGCCAAATCCTCCGGTATCCCTTGCCGTCAAGTGCCTGCACAGTCGCTAAAGACATCAGAATAGAAAAGTCGTTCCAAAAGCACCTCAGAAGAGGCTCTCATCAAGGATATTCTTTACATGTACAGGGTTATGCGAAGCCAGAAGCGCTGGGGAGTTCGAAGCCCCCGTCCTAGCTCCCGATAAAATGTAGACAGGCCGCAATTTCTACGTTTGATATCTGCCCAATCTCCCAGAATCGGTTCTTCCACTTGGTATGCCAATAGCCCGAGAAGGGGACTGGTTGTCGTGCGATATCACTTGCTGTTTATGCCAGCACCCAGCTACCTCCGAGTCCAACGCAAGTAGCTGAAGCTCGTCAAACTTGTTGTTATCTTGTTTCAGCATTGAAGACAGCGCTAGGACCGAAGCCAACGTGACAGCACTCAACCCCAAATTGGCACTCCAAGCTGAGACATCCAGGGTCAGTCCTTGTGACGGCTGATATGCTGGCGTTGCTTACCAATGGTGTATCTCGGACCATAACCATCCAAATATAAGTACGGGGTCCAAACCAGGGCTAAGTTGCCAACCGAGTTGGACATGGCGAGGCTGGTTGCTCGTTTCTTCTGAGGCCGTGCAGCGATGTTCGCTAGCCATGCGTTGGAGATTTGGAAACCACCGTAGGTCCCTGGAAGCATGAGGAACAGTGCGAAATATCGAGCGGTCGTGTTCGTCGTTGCGAGCGATATTATAATGCCGGATGTAGCAACTATTGTCGGATAAAGGATGTATGGAGAGCGTCTGCCTGTTTTGTCGCTGTGCCAGGTGTTCAGCAAGCTGAAGAGGGCCGTAAAAACGAACGGCTTTGCATTTGTATCAGTTACTGCGAGAGATAGGAGGCACACGTGGTCATAGATTGTGTTGCTTACCGGGGCAGTCAGCAAGAGGGTATCGATGTTACTGTATCCAAAGTTCTTGACTAGAGTGGGAAGGAAATTGGTGAGAGAGGCTACCGCCTGAATGCACATCTGATTGAGAACACAGAGCCAGACACGATGGTCTTTGACCACCATATTCAAGGCATCGAGGTTCCGTATCTCGGACTCTTCATCGCCGGCGTCCTCGATGAGTCGGACGACTCCCAAGGCCTTCTCTTCCTCAGTGAGCCATTTCGTAGTTGATGGCCAGTCAGGGATAATGAACGTGGTGGCCATCGCACAGACGACAGTAGCAGCTCCTTCGATGATGAATAGCCACCGCCAGCTGGGGATCTTATTGTTCTCAAACACTGCGGCAATCCCGACCGCGAAGAGACCCCCGAAAGCACCGCTGATCATAGCAGCGCAGAAGAAGAGGCCCAATCGGAACCCTAGTTCTGACCGGGTGTACCAGCCGGAGAACAAGAAAGCAACACCAGAGAAAAATGGTGCCTCAGCGATTCCGAGAAAGAAACGGCATGCTGCGATTCCAGCAAAATCCTGGACTGCTCCCGCGCATCCGCTGGCGACGCCCCATACTACCATGACGACTGGAAGATAGATACTGGGTCTAGTCATACCCAATATCATGTTACTTGGAACTACTGAAAATTAGTATCTTTGGTAGAGCAATGAACCGTCATGGGGATCCAAGGGCTCTTGTGTTCTGCTGACCTTGCATGAGAATATATCCGACATAGGTGAGACTTAGCACGATGTTATATTCCACACCAGGGAGACCAATATCCTCGGAGATTCCCTGGATCTTGGCTTGTGGCAGTGCATTACGATCAATATAATTGAGTACGTACATGAGGCTCTGCTCCAGGGCTCACTCGAGTGCAAGCGTTAGTATGTTAACAAGAGTTTGATGGTATCTCTCAGTCAGAGGAAGATTACTGACGAGGATGGGGAGCAAACGGATGTCGATTTTCCTTTTCAACAACTTTTCCCTAGCAGCTCGCTCCTCCGGTGACCATGAGGCCACGATCGTCTGGTACTCCAGAGTCGTCCCAGGAGAGGTTGGACCTTGATTTGGTGACATTATATCGATTTCAAATCGAAAAGGCGAAGCAGAGATGATATTCTTATGGACTCGGTGAGAATACACCATCAAACTGACATTTGTGATGTCTAGGGCTGTTTACTATTTATTATGTTCGATCGTTTCCGCCCATGCACAGTCTTCCCAAGTGCCTAATGGCCCTTGAGCATCCCGTGCCGCTTATTGCCGACATTCCAATTTCTTTTCTCCCTTCGGCCGTCAATACGTCCAATCATCGTTCCAAAGTTGTTCTGTTTCCTGTACCCCTCACCAATGTTCTATGGTCAACGAGATTCATTGCTATATCTGATTAGGTCCACATGCAGCAGATAACATTGAATGCGCCTAGGCTGCTTGGTAATTATTGCCCGGTTTTCCGGTGGCCGTTTTGGGAGCGTGGTCGCAGTCATGCGTGGGGAAAGAGCAGATTCACATCATTCCTGCAAGTATTTCTGGACAGCAGGCCTGAAAGGGGGATCTCCCCGCAAATGACATGTAGTAAGAGTCCCACCGTGGCCAGGATTCGGCGGATGGCGACGATTTCCCCCGGAGCTATCACCGTACCGAGACTTGAAGTGAGGAAACCCCTCTGCGGAGAACGATCACCCCAGTCCATTTGAGGCTACAAAATCGCGGGCAGCGTCTATAAGAAGCCTGTTACGAATGTTCCTCCTACCCTTCAATGAGATACCGACGAAGTGGACTAGTACTCTGTAAATACCCCATGATATCAAGCGGTCATTGTTCGAAGTTCTGAATACCAGAAATTTGAGAGCATAAGTACATCTAGTGTACAACACCATTCACCAGACTATTGCATCTGCCCAACATGACCAGCCTTTCCAGCAAGCTTGCTGAGCTTGAGGCCGCGGGCAGGCCTATTCAAATAGGTCTCATCGGCGCTGGCAAGTTTGGCTCTATGTTCATCGCGCAGTCTCACAGGACGACCGGAATGAGACTTGCTGGCATTGCAGACCTATCCTCCGACAGAGCCTTTGCAGCGCTCAAGCGGACCAATTATCCAGTTGATAAGTACGACACCACTGTCAATGCATCCATATCTGAGGGTATCCGATCGGGACAGACGATCATTACGACAGATTCTTCCGCGCTTATTGCTACGCCGGAGATTGATGTGATCCTCGAAGTGACTGGAAACCCGGCTGCAGGCATCAAACACGCACTTCTGGTGAGCTCGCACAGACAGACTGAACAAGTGTCTAAGATCACTGCTGAGCAAGTCTTTGGTAGTGTTGCGAGCACAAGAAACACATAGTCATGGTCAATGTTGAGGCTGATGTACTTGCCGGTCCTCTGCTGGCACGCAAAGCGAAGGAGGCCGGCATTATCTACAGCATGACCTACGGTGACCAACCAGCCCTAATCTCCGAATTGGTAGACTGGGCTCGAGCAGCTGGATTGTGAGTTGGACCCGGGGGCCCTTATTCTATCACAAGACACGATAGCCTTTAATAGAAAAGAACTAATTAGAGCTTAGCGACGTCATCTGCGCTGGCAAGGGAACAAAGCACCTTCCCCAATACCACTACTCAACCCCAGCTACAGTCTGGGACCACTACGGTTTCACAAAAGACCAGTTGGCCTCTGGCGAGTTCAACCCCCAGATGTTCAACAGCTTCCTCGATGGTACCAAATCCGCCCTGGAGATGGCCGCCGTCGCCAACGGCTGCGACCTGACTCCTCCACCCTCCGGCCTCAAGTTCCCGCCGTGCGGGAAGGACGATCTGCCCGAAGTATTGAAGCCAGAGGTTGAGGGCGGAAAGCTCAAGTGCAACGGCAGCGTGGAGGTGGTGTCATACTTGTACGAGAATGGCAGTTGGGTTCCTGATCATCTGCGGTGGGGTGTGTACGTTGTCATCGAGGCGGCCTCGCAGTATCAGCGGGATTGCTTCCGACAGTACGGGCTGAAGACAGACACTAGTGGGAAGTATGCCGCGCAGTACAAGCCTTATCACCTGATTGGGCTGGAGCTGGGCATCTCGGTGGCAAATATCATGTGTCGTGGTGAGCCTACTGGCCAAACCAAGACGTGGGCCGGTGACGTTGTTGCTACTGCAAAGCGTCACCTCTGCGCCGGCGAGAGGCTTGACGGCGAGGGCGGATTCACGGTCTACGGCAAGTTGGTGAGGGCTGAGGACTCGATATCCAGCTTCAGCTTGCCGATTGGACTCACACATGGGTTTATCCTCAAGCGTGACGTCGGGAAGGACCAGGGATTGAGTTGGGATGACGTCGAGGTCACGGCAGAAACATCTCAGGCGGTTGCGGTGAGGAAGGAGATGGAGGCCATATTCAGGAAGGAGTTCGAGGAGAAAAAGGCCGAGGCTGAAGGCGGATGGTAATATCCGGTGCCACGAGACTGGACAAGTCCCGGTGGAGCTGCTGAGGGACACAATTTGCAGCTTGCGGAGATGAAAGGACATTGGCTTTGGTTTGGTGGATCGATTCATCAAATACAATCATGAGTATAAACAGATATACAGAATATAAGTTATTAAACTAGGTGGTAGCTTTAGCTATATTATATTTTTTATTTAACTATTTATCTATTTATTATCTTATTAACTTTTAAATTAATTATTAGTTTATATTTTAAATATAAACTATTTATATTTTTTTAACTTTACTATTAAATTAAAAATAAATAGTTAAAGTTCTAAAAGAATAAAATATAATATATCTTTTAAAGATTAATTTAGTTAAGTTTACTATATAGAACTTTTTATAGTGACTTTATAATTATCTATAACACTATCTATTATTAGAAGATGCCTTCTTACGTTAGTGCGCTAGACTATACTTAGTTTGTTTAGGCTAGCGCTATTAGCCCATTAAAGGTTGAAGCCATTATAGATTATAGGCTAGTCTTAATGCTATTAAGTACTATATATAAGGTCGCTATATAACTTAGACCTTTTAAGTTAGCTAAAATAGGTAAAGATAAAGCTACTATTTCCCTAAGGGTTCTAGCTCTATTTAAGTAAATATCTATCTAGTAAACCTAAAAGACTATTAACTCCACTATATTATAAGTAAAACTACTTAAAAGTAGTTATTTAACTAACCTATTAAACTAAAAGATAACTAGGTAAGGTAATTATACTCTATTATTTAGGTTTATAAATCTAATAGCTTTATAAAAAAAGAAATAACTATTTATAATTAAGTTTGTAACTATATAAAAATAGATTTCTACTTTAAAAAGAAATTATTAATATTTAAAATAATTAATATATTTTTAGAAAAACTAAGGGATTATAAATTTAATTTAAAGGAAATTAAGATTTATAAGAATTTTAAATTTAAGCTTAAGGGCTCCCTTTTAAATTTAACTCCCTTAAAGAGAAAAAACTTAAAGAAGCTTAAAAAAAGACTTAAATAAGGTTAGATAAGGTTATAGTAATATAATATAGTTAAATAAAAAACTAATTATAAAATTATAATTATAAGTCTTTTAACCTTATACTTAAAAGGGTTATATCTTAAATATAAAGTTAATAATTACTTAATATATATTTTAAACTTATTTATATATAAAGTTATTAACTTTCTTTATAAAGCTCCTTTTCTATTATATCTTTTATATATTATATAGAAGTAGATAAATTTTTAATAATAAAGTAATATATTTAAAGGAGGAAGATTTAGTTTTTAAATATTTAAACTTTTACTTTTTTATATAATATTTATTTAATATATAGTAAATAAATTTTATTTAATTTTTAAAAGGGTTTTAATTTTTTATAAAATTTATATAAAAGGTTTTTAAATTAATTTATTATTATAATATTATTATTCTATTAACTATATATTTAAGATAGGGATTATAGTATATTTAGTTTATTTAATAAAGGTAGATTTAAGTAGTTATTAAATATATTAATAGGGAAGAAATAACTTATTAGATTTTATATTATAGAATTCTTCTTTTATAAGAGTTATTTTAAAACTATTTTAATTTTATTATATAACTACTTAATTAATTTATTATAATAAATTAACTCTTAGACTATTTATATTAATAATTCTAATATAATATTATTAGAAGTAATATTTTTTAGTTTTATTTATATAATATAAGCCTTAATTATATACTTATATACTATATTCTCTTTCTACTATTATTAATATTATATTTCTTTAAATATTAAGTTTTAAATATTTACTATTATATAAAGGCGCTATATAAATTTTATATATATAGGGATTAAAAACGAAACTATTTAAACTAGGTAGCTATATATATTATCTTTAAAAGTATTATAGCTAGACTAAGAGTTTTTAATAATGACTTGTAGATACTCTGTTGACCAGTAGATAGTGTTTAAAGAAATAATAGTTTAGGGAAATAACAGTGGTCTTACAAGGATCCCAAGGATTAACTTTAATGTATTAAAATGTTAATTTTGAATGTAACGGAATATATGGACTATATAAATAGGTCATATGAATATCAGTATTCTGCTGAGCTAGACATGCTCTGTTAAGACCCTTATTCTCATTCCATGGTTCCGAGTCAGATTGGATGAGCGGCGGTGTTTTGAATTTCTCATCGCCTCACTGACAGTCACTCCTGGCGATCATGTGGGCCACTGGGCACGCTGGGCTTTCAGCTCTACCACCGAAGATCCCAGTTCCTGCAAAGATGGGCTGGACTCTAGTCGTGCCTACAACCCACAATGGTACAAAAACGCGAGATATCCGTCGCAGCATCCGCAGCCCATCCACGAAGAATCTCGTGGAGGGGTCTTCGGCTCCGGCAGTTCCTAATCGGGTTAACCACCAAGCGGTGACCGGATAAAAAGATGCCACAACAACTCGAATGGTGCGCAGCAACCAATGAATTATTCCTTCAACGAGGATCAACAGTACGAAATAATGACAGAGATACCACTGGAGCCACCAGGACGCGGTCTACGCAACAAGGTGGCACTTGTCACCGGAGCAGGATGCGTCGGTGATGGGGTTGGCAACGGCCGAGCGATATCAATCATGCTGGCCGATGAAGGCTGCAACGTGATTTGCCTGGACCGAGATCTATCGTGGGCCAACAAGACCGCCGAAATCGCAAACTCGAAGCCCGGCCGCGGCGAGGCGGTGCCTACGCAGGGAGACGTCACCTCATCCGACGACTGCAAAGCTGCTGTCCAACTGGCCCTAGACAAGTTTGGACGGCTGGACATCCTGGTCAATAACGTCGGCATTGCTGGGGCACCGGGCACAGCTGTCGACGTGGACCTGGAGCAATGGGCCAAAGGACTGGAGACCAACGTCAGCAGCATGGTCGCCATGGCGAAGCATGCTGTTCCCGCGATGGCCAAGAACGAGGGCGAGGTAAAGGGCTCCATCATCAACATGGGGAGCGTGGCAGGTCTCAAGGGCGGCACGCCGCATCTTCTCTACCCGACCAGCAAGGGAGCCGTTGTCAACATGACAAGGGCGATGGCTGCGCACCATGCCGAGTCTGGCATCCGGGTGAACTGCGTCTGTCCGGGTGTATGTCATCTCTATCATATATCACTGCATTGCATGGTGGAAATGAGGGATTCGCTGACGTTGCGGTGCACAGATGCTATACACGCCAATGATGTCTTCAAAGGGCATGTCCGAGGAGGCGAGAGCTGCGCGCAAGGCAAGGAGCCTTCTCGGGACGGAAGGCAATGCCTGGGATGCTGCGGCCGCGGTCGTGTTTCTAGCCAGCAACCACTCGCGGTGGATCACGGGTGCCGTCTTGCCGGTGGACGCCGGTACTACGGCCGCGGTTGGCATTGGAATGACGAAGGCTGCGAGTGTGAACGGATAAGCACATTTTTAATTATTTTACTTTCATCAGCGCATGGTTGCACAGGACGCAAATTGTCCGCTTGAATGAATATGACTGCAAGAGGATACCGTAAGTGACCCACGACCGCAAAGAGTTGGAATTTGTCAGACACAGAGCCAAATATACTGGCTGGGCAACGTGAGCCGGCTCATTTGTGCATTAAAGCTACCCTTCCGTCGACCTCACCGGCCGCTAGACCTTTGAGGGCCTCCGGAAGACTGTCCAACGACCTCTCCTCTACCTGAGGCTTTATCGCTCCAGCGGCTACGAGATCGAGAACCTCTTTCAGGTCCCCTGCCTGCCCACCATATGTAAAGATAAAGCTCAGTCGTTTTCTTGTCCCGATCTTCATGTGAATGGTGTTGTCTGCGTCAAGGGTTCCAACGCACAGGATCTTGCCGCCTCGCCGGACTAAAATCCGTCAGCAAACGCCAATGTCCGACTAGGGGATAACTCACCTATCTGCTGTGCAGCCTCAAAAGTCTCGTGCTTGCCGACAAATTCCAGCACAGTGTCGATCCTAGTCTCTGGCCCCTTGTTCCTCAGAAATTCTTCTGCTCCCATGCTTAGGGGCACGATGTCATCGGCTGGCACTCCTAAAGACTTGGCTGTGTCTAGACAGGACTGCCGAGTATCTAACACGATCACCCTGGCACCAATGTGGCGGACGACCTGCAGTGCGTTCATACCTAGACCTCCCAGGCCGAATAGAAACACCGTCTCGTGTGGTTTGACTTCTGCGCGGCGGACGATGCCATGGTAAGCTGTGTTGATAGCGTCCGTGGCAACAGCGGCTTGAGCAGGTGATACGCCTTTTCATCTGTCAATTTTACCTCGCAGCCCAGTTAAAAGGAGGAGAATTAGGACAACTCGTACCTTGCGGAACAAGCACGGCACCCCGAACATCCACGACGGCATAGGGTGCATAGAACCCGTCTTGCCCGATGCCCGAGTGGTGACCTCGCTCACAGCACTGCGACAAGTCTCTGCTGCATTCTGGACAATCTTCCTCTTGGCAGCCTGGCACGGCGTGCAGTGCGACGATGTCTCCCTGTGATAGTCGTTAGGCAGGGAGTCACGACGTGGTGATGGTACCTCGGAGCTTACCAGCTTCAGGGAAGTCATTCCCGCAGCGCTCTCGCCGAACTTGACGATCTCGCCACATCCTTCATGGCCCTATATATGGAGTTGGAACATAAACATGACGGCGTCCATCTTCACTCGCACTCGTGGTCTTACCAGGATGTACTTTTCTCTAAACCAGCCGGCTTGTTTTTCAATTTGGAGGAGTGAGAGATCACTACGGCACACTGCGGATCTGTCAATACTACTCAAAATGGACATAGCCTATGACTGGCACATGGTAGATCGCACCTCCAGACGCTATAAGCTTCACCAGCACTTCGTTAGCAGACGGCTTAGGTACCGCCACTTGCTCCCAAACCGGCTCCGGATTGCCTCTGTGTTTCCGCCACGCGTACATGGAATCTGGTATTGTGCTGCTCATTTCTGCTGACTTGGATGGAACAGGTGGCAAACTGTATTACGGAAACCGTTCACAAATTTGAAAGGGCTAGTGGTTGGCAGTCCACGGATCTCAACCCAGCACTGAGGACAACCCCTCTTTGCGGGCTTCAATGTTGCTACGGCCAGCCAAGCCTGACTCGGAGATGCACGGCGGTCCGCGATGAAACTCGGGACTTCCGCTTTTGGGGTTGCCGACGTCAAGTATCCAGAGGCTAGACCAAACAAAGTTGTCTCCCGACGTCGTACAAACATTTGGTCCCTGAAAAATATCAAGAGTTACTGTAGCAAAAGCCCCTCTCCCCCCCGAAAAATCGAAAGAGATTACAATGGTATTCTTTCCGCCGAGATGGGTCCCATCGCTGCCATTTGGTCTGTATTTTCAAGTCTGCCCTTTCTTCACACAACAATTTTGACATTATGATGTAGACCCACCGGATTCGGTGCCCATCCATCAATTCATGCAAGATGAATCGATCCGCCCGGTGCCAATTACTAAGAGCCACCATCCGTTTACCTGCGGAGTCACGGGTGCGACTTACACCCACCAAGAGTTCTTTGACAGATCCGAGAGACTTTCCCGAACACTTGCAAACCAACATGGCTGGGCCCCAGACGCTCAGACACCATGGGACAAGGTTGCTTGTATCTTCTCACTCAACACCGTAAGTCATGTCGCCATGAATCTGTCACTTTTTTGCGTCCCGAGGGGGAAGCTAACTTTATAGCACAGATCGACTACATGACAGCGGCGTATGCTGTCCACCGCCTCTCTGGAATCGTAACGCCTGCCAACGCCGTATACACGCCCGCAGAGCTAGCCCATCAACTCACATCGTCTGGCTCAAAGGCGCTCTTCACATGCCCTTCCCTCATCACCACCGCTGTCGCGGCTGCTGAGATAGCAGGCCTTCAGCGGCGACATATCTACCTGCTGCCAGTTACCGGCGAAGCGGTCCCTCAGGGCAACGACCTGTGGACGCTGGAGGACATGATCAGCAAAGGCTCATCACTGACACCAGTACCGCCACTTGTCTTTGGTAAAGGTCAAGGCGCGGAGCAACCGGCTTTTCTCTGTTATTCAAGCGGCACGTCTGGGAACCCGGTAAGCACATTCTACTGTACACGCAACGCGCAACAAGGAGCACTAACTAACCTTGTCGAAGAAAGCAGTAATGATCTCGCATCGCAATGTGATCGCAAACATTCTGCAGATGTACGCATATGAGTCCCGGGGTCGTCAGGAGAAGCGTGTCGAGTCCCAAGTACTTCTTGCTCCCCTGCCCATGAGTCACATCTACGCACTGGTCGTCGCTGCTCACGTCGCCGTATGGCGCGGCGACGGCTTCATTATCCTGCCAAAGTATGAGCTCGAGAGCTTTCTTGGTGCAATACAGAGATTCAAAGTTCAGCAGATACTAGTGGTAAGTAAATGGCTGACTTGTCTGCTCTTCTCGGCCTCTTCGCATCTATACTCACTGTACCCTAGGTACCACCAATCCTGCTCCAGATCCTACGCTCAAGGGATATTTGTGCAAAATACGATTTAAACAGCGTACGATTCCTCTTCAGCGGTGCAGCGCCGTTGGGAGAGGAGACTATTAATGAAATCAAAAATGTGTACCCGAAGTGGACTATCGCTCAGGCTTATGGTCAGGAATATTCGAAGGCAGCCTGATTATGTTCCTGGGGAAAGCTGACAATTTCTCAGGCATGACCGAGACGAGTGTATGTGTTACCGTCCCCAGCGAGCACGATATCGTCCCAAGGGCGTCGGGGTCACTCCTGCCAGACATGGCCATTAAGCTCTTGGGCGAGGACGGCAAAGAGATCACAACTCACGACCAGCCGGGTGAGATCTATGTCCGCAGCCCGTCGGTCGTCCTGGGCTATCTTCGCAACGACAAGGCGAACTCGGAGACTTTCATCAGTGGTGCGGACGGCCGCTGGATAAGAACCGGAGATATCGGGTTGATGACAAAGGTTCCATCTGGTAATGAGCAACTCGTCATCGTAGACCGGATCAAGGAGATGATCAAGGTGATGGTAAGGCTCACTCCCAGTAGAACCTTTTGGGGAAGGCCGCAACGCTCACTGTTTACCAGGGTCACCAGGTTGCACCAGCCGAGCTTGAAGCACATCTGCTCGCACACCCGTTGGTTGCAGATTGCGCCGTCATTCAGATCCCTGATCCCAAGGCTGGAGAGGTACCGAAAGCATTTGTTGTCCGATCGCCGACTGCCATGTCGGAAGCGGAGGGTAGCGTGTCGGCCGCCCTGAAGGCATGGGTCACCGACCATAAAGCTCCCTACAAGGCTTTGAGAGGGGGTATTGAGTTTGTGGATGTCATCCCGAAGAGCCCCAGCGGCAAGATTCTGCGACGAGAGCTAAGAGAGCGAGAGAAGGGAAAGCTTACACCTAAAGCAAAGTTGTGAGATGAAAGACGTGGGATCAGCAGGTGCCGATATATGTGCAATATTTATAGTAGGAGCACCAGCATCGCTAATTAGCAAACGAGGATTTATATTCTCTTCAAGAACGCTGAAAATTAAGCTCCAGTTTTGAAAAGGTAGCTGTAGACTTGTCAAAATTGCTTGCACCGTCCTTTCGTGGGTTTGGGCCTGTGCAATGAAAAGTTGTAGCTGATTCCTGAAGCGACTTCAATAGCTTTGGCAACGACTGACCAACGCACTTTCGATCGGCAGGCTGTTATTGCATTATAAGAGCTATATAAGTACCTATGCCTCACTAATTCTTTTGAACCCTCGTCGGATAGCCGTCGAGCCATTTGTCCTCAATGACAACCAGCTGTGAGGCTTGCAGTTTCGCAAGGTATTCATCTGGTCCTTCGGGAGCGTAATCCTCGCGATCCGCGTCAATAAAACCTTCCGCGGCAATCGATCGTGGGGTGATCATGAAAGACCGTCCTGTACTGGTGTCAGCTGGATATGATCTAAGGACACTTTTCACTTTGCAAAGCCTCTCATACCGTTGATAGTCTTGTCCGTAGCAATCCGCATCATGCAGCCAGCGCAGTCTGCCTGCTCTCCAAATTCGACTCCTCGGTCAATCAGCCACTTCTCATACTCGGCAGAGCGGATCGCACTCTTGATCCAGCATGGTGCAACGTAGTTGATGCGGATGCCTTGCTCAAAGCTGGACCGGCGGGCTGTTCGCATGAATCCTCGCAGGGCGTATTTGGTCGCTGTATATTCCCAATTGCCCTATGCCGTTGTAAGCCGGTGCCACCAATGAATAGTACAAGCTTTTGGTTGATTTTGAACATACTGGCGAGTCAATCCATGCTACCATGCTGCCCGTCATGATGAAGCACCGATCTCGTTCATCACTCTCCGCTTGCTTTCTGAAGTAGTGCACCGCAAGCTTCCAAGTGTACAAAGTACCGTTCAAGTTGACGTTGACAATGTTGAGATCTGGCTTTGTCGGCTCGCCATTGGGGTCTATAACACCGACCATGTCAAGCATCAGCTTTTGCGCAGTGGCCGGGAAATTTGAAGAAACTCACCGTCCAAATTCCAAAGGCTGTCTCCAGAACTACGACTGATGCCAGCGTTGGCTATGACAACGTCGACGCTGTGACTGGGACTTCGCGACTTTGCCGTCTCAAACATATTCTTCTGGTCCTCCCACGACCTGATGTCGCATTTGACGAACGCACAAGTCTCGCCTTGTGCGTTCAGTTCCTTCTCGACGACAGGCCCACGATCGCTGAGATCTGCGAAAGTTACGAAAGCTCCAGCTGCGACAAAGTGTCGAACACAGGCTTCGCCGATGCCATTGGCGCCACCTGTGATGATTACCGACTTGCCTGTGACCTTGCTAAGATCCGGTTTGACGGTGTGGTCCACAGGACCGGTGTACTCATAGCGTGGCAGAGGCATAGTTGAGGTAGTTGCGTTCTCGTGTGTTTCAATGGAAGCGAATGATTAAGTGCACTTCCCTGACTATTGCTGACCTACTAGGAAAATCTGGAAATCCCTGGAATGCTTCAGCAACTTGAAAATACTCGTTCGGCAACCTGAACACAGCAAGTAATGGTATCCCATGGGATGTATTACCTACTTCACTGTAAGTCGACCAACCACCTCCAGCGGCCGGCTGTCGGCGTTGACCATTGCCCCCTCCGCCGCTTGGCGCTGTAACGCAATCCCTCGGTTCGGCAATAACGAGCGCCACACTCCGACTCGTGTCGGGATTCGGCACCATGACCTTGGAGTCCGGCAATACAGACTAGTCCTACCGTTCTCTCAAACCCCTATCGACTACCGGATGTGAGGAGAAGTATAACCATTTCGCGTAAACCTTGGAAGGCGGCAGGCATGACCCCTTACGCACTGCTGGACAAACATAATTAGTGCCTAGGATAGGGGGCAGTAAGTACCTCATTGCATCAACGTCAACTTTCAATAGAACATCGCCATCAACATCTGGCTTCACAATGGCACAAAACGGGTCATCACCAGCCGACAGCGCAGTATCAGGAATGGAGACTATAGAATACGATGCGCTGATCGTGGGTGCCGGTCTCAGTGGCATATTCTCATTATATCGCATGCGAGAGCTTGGTTACAAAGTCAAAGTGCTCGAGGCCGGGTCAGCAGAAGGTGGCACATGGTTCTGGTAAGATTTACCCCCTACAAACGCGCTGATGGGGTCGATCCGGCGCCTAACAACATCACAGGAACCGCTACCCTGGGGCACGCTTCGACTCGGAGAGCTATTCGTACATTTTCTCGTTCTCCCAGGAGGTCTTGGACGAGTGGGACTGGACAGAACACTTCGCCCCTCAAACCGAGACGTTAAAGTATATCAACTACCTGACAGACAAGTTTGATCTACGTCGCGATATTCAATTCAACACCTCCATCAAGCAGGCGAAATTCCAAGAAGACAGCAACTCATGGCTGCTCACCGACGCGGCGGGAAAGACCTACTCGTGTCGATGGCTCATCACTTGCATGGGCATACTAAACGAGCCGACCCTGCCAAATATCGCGGGCGTTAAGGACTACAAGGGCCAGGCATGGCACACGGCCAGATGGCCCAGTGATGCATCGGCTCTGCGGGGCAAGCGGGTCGGTATCATTGGCACTGGCGCAACTGCGATACAGACCGTCCAGGCCATCGCCGGCGAGGTGGGATCACTCAAGGTCTTCCAGCGGACACCAAACTGGACTGCACCCCTGAGGAATTCAAAAATCTCGAAAGAGGAAATGAAGGCAATTCGGAAAGAGTACCCCGAAATATTCCGCAAGTGCGCGGACTCATACGCTTGCTTTATCCACGTCGGCGACCCGAGCAAGGTCAACTCAATGCCGCTAGAAGAACGGATCAAGACGTGGGAAGTACTGTACGAGAAGCCAGGCTTTGCCAAAGTCCTGAGTGTCTCGGGAGACATCTTCACCGACCGCGAGGCCAACAAGCTGTTCAGCGATTTCAATGCCGCCAAGATAAGGGCGAGGGTCAACGACCCTGCAGTCGCAGAGAAGCTGATACCGAAGAATCATGGCTTTGGCACACGGCGGGTGCCTTTGGAAAGCGGATATTATGAGGTGTTCAACCAAGACAATGTCCATCTGGTCGATCTCCAAGAGACCCCCATAGAACGCATCACGGAGAAGGGCGTCAAGACCACGGCGGAAGAGCATGAGCTGGACGTGCTCATATACGCCACTGGGTTCGATGCCGTGACCGGCTCGTTCAACGCAGTTGACATACGGGGCCGGAACGACAGACGACTAAAGGAGGTGTGGGAGGACGGCATACGCACATTCCTTGGTCTCACCGTCAAAGACTTTCCCAATATGTTCATGATTATGGGGCCGCATCAAGTAAGTACTTACCTTTGGGTGGCGTTTCAGGCAGAATTATAGGAGGCTGACTATCGCAGATGTTTGGCAACATTCCCAGGAGCATCGAGTTTGCAGTCGAGTGGGTTTCCGGGCTGATCAGGTGGGCACGAGACAACAACATCTCCGTCATCGAAGCGACTCAGAAGGGTATGGATGATTGGACCCAACACGTTCACGATTGCGGGCAAGGTCTGCTCGCCAATGAGGTCGACTCCTGGATGACTGGCGTCAACAAGAACCTGGCGCACAAGCAGAAGCGATCGATGACGCGGTACAACGGACCAGCTCCGGGTTATCGCAAGCGGTGCAATGAGGTGAAGGAGAGGGGTTACTCTGATTTTGTCACCAAGTAGACGGGGGGAATGTTTATTCTATTTTACTCCATACCAAATAAAACCATCCAAGTAGTCGGGCGAAATGCGTCGTATCATATACATTCAGGGTGATCGCTGCTAACTAGTCATGACTCTATTATAAATTCAGATGGTACCGGCGGCGAAGACAGGGCCCATCGAATGCCGTTGACGACGACTTTATCCCACCGATCACACTCTGTCAATTTCTTGCCGAAGCGCCTGAAGCCATGCGGCATGCCCTTGAAGACGCTGACCTTGGTGGGCACTCTGTTTTGCAGTCTCGTTAGTCTTCAAGCCACCGTCCGCGGGGGTCTCCAATCTTGGTCACACGTACCCAGCTTCGTGGAGCAGCTTTGCGTATAGCAGAGCCTCATCTCTCAGCATGTCCATGCCAGCAACTCCAAACACCGTTGGAGGAAGGTGCTGGACTTGACTACTGGACGCATTTCCTGGGTTCAGGCGCAGGTCGTCTTCCTTTGGGTTCGCCACTTTTAGAAGATCTGAGAATAAAATCATTCTGTCGGCCGGGAGGATCGGCGCGTCCTTATTCTGGACATATGATGAGACCTCTGGAGATAGAAGCTGCGCCTTCTGTGGAGCATAGCACTCATAATATACAAGTGAAGGTATCATGAGCACCTGTCCTCTGATGTTTAGGGTGATAGGCTGGGTGGTATTCAACAAGTGTGAGGCCGTCAGCCACGCACCGGCAGATATGCCGCCGAGGACGACCTGGTGCGGATCCCCCCCAATGGCGCTCACATTGTCCTCGAGCCATTTGAAAGCATCTTCAACATCGTTCCAGGCCGTGGGATAGGTATGTTCCGGGGTATGGCGATAACAGACATTCAACACCAGCACCTGAGCGTCCAGTGCAATCCGTGCACAGGTTGCATCTTCTGATGATAGTGATCCGAAAAGGAAACCGCCCCCGTGCAAATGTACATATACCGGTAATGCCTCGGAGACGTGACGGGCTTTGTATGTCCTTGCCCTGATCTGCTGGCCGTCCTGCGTTGGAATACTGAAGTCGTCCGTCACGATGGAATCGCCCAAACTCCCCATAACTTTGGCTGCCTCCTCCTCACGGCCTCTGTTGACAGCATTTCGCAGACTAACAATTTCGTCAACGGAGGATGGCGTAGCATTCTTTGGCAGAGTGGGCTCGATGGCTAGCCACTCGTCGCTACTGCCCCTGTATTCTGAAAAGTCGCACATGGCCGATGTTGGCAATCCGACATTCAATATCGAGCCCGAAAATGATACACGGCGCAGCTGCCAAAGTCTTTGTGGTACGTAGGTATTCGGCAATATCCGAGCGTGGACAGTGTCCGATCTCGCGGGGCTTGTTGTTGCTCGTACGACTTCATGGCTTTCCGCTTTGGGCTTTGCCGCCCGCCCTCGAGACCGATTAGGAGGTACCCCGAATGGCGACTACATGCGGCAAATGGATCATAACTTTAATTAGCATCGCCGTAGCTTGATGTCGCTCTCGGCAAACCTAGGATACGGTCCTTGTTGGCTACTAATGCATGTCCTTCATGATCATGCTGACCCAGACTGATTAATGACCAGCGAAATTTTTCAAGACGTCGCAACACACAAGCCATACTCACCTCCACTGGCCCCTTCACCCTAGAACACAACTTGCTAGATCATATTGTATCACACATTGGGACACATTCAAAATGGCCACCGCGCAGGTTGACCGTGCACATGATCCGGCACAATTGAACCCGCTGATCGCGAAGTCATACGATGGACCAGAAGTGGCCCCAGCAGAGCTGCCCGAGGAGCTATCCAAGACAGACGACAGGGCCAAGGAGGTCGAAAACGCCACAAAGACTGCAGCGGCCGAGATCAGCATAGATGACCCGTTCCAGCTGAGCTCAGAGTATGCGTACACACCTCGCAAGATCCGGGTCTTCACTATTGGAGCCGGCTTCTCGGGTCTCATCATGGCGCACAAGTTCCAGCACCGGTTTCCCGCCATGAGGGATATCGTCCAGCACACAATCTTCGAATCGCGAAGTGATGTGGGCGGAACTTGGCTGGCGAATCACTACCCTGGAGTTCAGTGCGATGTACCAGCACACATTTACGTATGTCTGAGCTTTTTCGTCAATTTTTCCTGCACCCCCGGCTAATTACTTGACGATAGGCATTCCCTTTCGATCCGAACCCGGAGTGGGAGCGGTTCTATGCTAGCGGGCCTGATATACTTGCGTATATGAAGCAGACCGTGAAGAAGTGGAATCTGGATCGTGATTTGCAGCTGAACACGAAGGTCATTGGTGCCGAGTGGCAACAAGACAAGGGCGAGTGGAAAGTGACTGTTGAGCATGAAGGAGAGCAGCGTGTTGAGTTCTGCGACGTCCTCATATCCGCCCAGGGTGTGCTTGTGTAAGTGATGGTTTGTTTACCCACGTATCCCGTCGACTTGTTGCTGACGCTCCGTGTTCAGACACGAATCATGGCCCAAGATTCCCGGCCTGGAGAACTTCAAAGGCCACATCACCCACAGCGCCGCCTGGGACCACAGCCACGACTACAGCAACAAGCGGATAGCCGTGATCGGCAACGGCTCCTCCGGCATCCAGATCGTACCCCAGATGACCAAGCTCCCAGGCACCACAGTCCGGAACTTCATCCGCGGCCCGGCGTGGGTATACTACCGCGCTCCTCCTTCCAAGCACCTCGGGCGGGACGACCCAGACCCAAATCCGAGGTACACGGACCAGGACCGCGCTTATTTTCAGGACCCCGCAAACCACCTCAAGCACCGCAAGCAGATCATCTCCAAGACAAACAAGTCGTTCCAGATCTTCATGAAGGGCAAGAACAACCAAGAGGGCATGAGGCTGGCGGCGGAGCAGATGGCGGAAAAGCTAAAGCATGACCCGGTGCTCTGTGAGAAGCTGATCCCAAAGTGGGAGCTGGGTTGCCGCCGTATCACCCCGGGCCCGGGATACCTGGAGTCATTCCTCGAGCCAAACTGCTCGCTTACGGACAGCCCCATCACGAAGGTCACGGAGACAGCGATCCACACCGCAGATGGTGAAGTATTTGAGTGCGACGTCCGTAAGTGCCACGTTCTGTCCCAGTTTGCCCGGCGAATTGCCACCGCCACCCCTCCATACTGACCCAGTGCGCAGTCGTGTGCGCGACCGGCTTCGACGTGTCGCACCGCCCGCGCTTCCCCGTCAAGGGCCTAAACGGTGTCGACCTCTCTCAGCTCTGGCTAGAGGACCCCGAGTCCTACATCTCGGTGGCCGTGCCCGAGGTACCCAACTACTTCATGATGATGGGGCCGAACTGCCTCGGCGGCCACGGCTCGCTCGTCGAGAGCCTGAACTGGACGGGCGACTACTTTGTCAAGTGGATCTACAAGATGGCCACCGAGGACATCAAGTACGTCCACCCCAAGAAGGAAAAGGTGGCCGAGTTCTGCCGGTACACGGACCAGGTGCACAAGACGCTCGTGTGGAGCGGCGGGTGCAAGAGCTGGTACAAGCGGAACCGGGTCGACGGCAGGGTGACGGCGCTGTTCGGCGGCAGTGCGTTCCTCTTCAACCGCCTCCTGAGCGAGATCCGGGCGGAGGACTTTGAGATCGAGTACCGAACCTCCAACCCGTGGAGGTTCCTGGGCAATGGCTTCACTGAGTTTGAGATGGACCCGGAGAGCGACTTGTCGTGGTACGTGGAGGTGGCGGACAAGTTGGGAGATGACGCATCGAAACCATTTCCCGCAAAGTTTCCAGACGGTTTCAAATTTTCCAGCAACAAGGAGTAATTTGGATTTACACTGAGCAGTAAGTTCAATATCATACTAGGTAGTACTTAGATATTCATATACCCAATATCATGAACCGACACCACGGCTTTTGCGCCAAAGAGGCCCCCTTCCCGTTTACTGGACAATGAACTTTGTACATGTACAAATCAAGATTATCTGGCGGCTACAGTTGGAGAGGAAAAATCCAGGTAATCGCCTTCCGCTCCCATTATTAGCAACGGATCCAGGAAGCCATGAAACTCATGCATCGCATTTTCGTAGAAGGATGTGTTCCTCGGACTGGGCATGCCGCGGGTGACATTGCCAGACATCTGGTTATTGAGCAAGCACTCCGCAATCTTGCTCGTGGAGGCAGTGACAAATGGCAGCAGGGACAGGCCGTTGCTGTTATCCTGCTGGTGAGCAGTCATTGTAGCGTGTGGGGGCACAGCCGGGTCACCGGGGACGACGCCACCGACAGCAAGCCCGGAGCTGTCCGGAGGTATGGTTGGTGGTCGAGGTTGCGCGGGCCGGGGCGCACCCTTCTCATTCCTCATCCGATCGAAGCCTTTTCGGATGACGTTTGCAGAGGGCCACATCTTCTGGAGCTGCTCGACCATGCTGGTCAGGACTGCTATGCCCTCCTCGGAATCCTCGGCAAACTGCGGTATCCGGGAGCCCTGCAGCAACGCGATGAAAGCTGTCCCGCAGTACCAACACGTGATGGCCATGAGAAACCGGGTGTTGCCTCTTGCGAGCACGTCTCGCAGGACCCGGGCCGTACATGAGGCTGCCAGGATGGCTGGGGGTAACGCCTGAGGGAGCACGTTGGCGGACCGTCGCAGATGGAGAATGGTCACTGCGGTCAGATATGGTAGGTGCAGCTGGTGGACATCTCGGTCGAACTTGGCATGGCTGTTCGCGCCGAGCCGGAGCTGCAAGTCGGGGGGGAGCTCCGTCAGCCACCTGGACAGCTGGTCGTGGTACTGAGAGTAGAGGCCGGACTGGTCGACGTCGACCGGCCGGCAGAAGCTCTTGGCCATGCGGCCTATGATGGCGCAGAGGCGGACCCAGTGTATAAAGACCAGGCCCTTGCTCTGTGACTTGGGGTCATCTGGAAAGTCGGACAGGTCGGGCGGGGCGATGGTGCAGTCTGCCTCGTCGATGATACAGGGCTTGCTCTGACACAGCGCCGTCAAACGCTCGCGTGCCTGCGATCAGGGGGTCAGCTACTGGTAACGGGGAGAGAAAGATTTAGCCATGTGCCTACGAATGCCGTCCACCATATTCTGCGCCGCACAGAAAGGTCCAATTTTGCTCGTAGAGGACTGTCAGGAGGCGGCTCCCGGTGGATTCCCATTTGCTGCGCGTGGCGGATTATCACGGACTGCCACCACCACGAGGTATGGCGGTGGATGGTAGACGGCGGCCGTGGGGCCCACCAGTAAAACAAGCAAAGGGCCTTCAACGTGGTCAGGTTGTCAGCCTCGGCGTCTTCGTAAAACAGCCTACGAGCACGGTCGTAGTACTCGTGCGGGCCTTGATGCGGCAGCAGAGGCGGCTGGACGTGGCTTGCGGCGAGGGCTACGGCGTTGGTGAGTAGGGGAGAGCGAGCCATCTCGCCCATGATGGTCTTGGGGTCCAACACCGGGCAGAAACAGTAGCAGTATTCCCAGTACGTCTCCAGGAATGCCGACTGCAGCGAGAAGTCGAGCGGGAGACTGTGTGCATCTTCCCGGCCGGGCGATAAGTAGGCCTGCAGCTCCTGCATCTCGGCATCCATCTGGTTCTCGGGACCGTAGACAGAATGCAAATACCCAGCATCGACACATGCATCATCGCCATAGCTGTGGTTTGATGCGACGGTGCCAATGGACTGTGCAGACGGCATACCAACGACGATGTTCCGACTGGCCTCTGCCAGCGGGCCATCCCATGCATTCCCATTGCTTGAAGGGCCGGGCATCGAGGGTGCTCCGAAGGCTGCATCGTCGATTCCCTCGGGCTGTGGGTGTGGAGCAAAGTCTACGCTGCCATTGTCGATACCAGGACCTGGGAGTGCGGAGCCTGAGGCACCCTGACCAGCGTCACGGACCGTGATAGTGCTGGAACTCGTCAGACTGCCAGCGTGAGTGCTCGTACGCCTTGTCTTGCCACGCTGTGATGTCCTCAGGGGGCAGTCACGTTGGCTGGCCTCACAGTTGGAACACTTGCTGTGGCCATCCTGGCTGCGCTTCTGCACGTCACACTTGACCTTCTTGGAATGACACGGTATGCACACGGCCTCTGCACGCTTGCGCTTCGCTGCTTGGTCGGCAAAATGGATAAACGTGGGTTCGGCTTCACCTTCGGACATCTTCGTGGGCCCTGTCGGTAGAGAGCCCTTCAGGCGAGATACAGTACACAACGACAACGACAACGGCTTCGTCTTGCAGCGTCGGCAGAGATGGAAGAGTAGTAGCCGACTTCTGAATCAGGAATCTAAGTTACAATGGTACTTATCTCAGGCCTTGGCGCGTAGGTGACCCGTCACCCGCGCCCCTGCCGTCACCCCTAATCACTCTATAGGGGTAGGGGGGGGGGAGGGGAGTAGAGCTAGTAGGTTAGGGTTAGGGCTATTAAGATTATACCTAAAAAGGTAAAAGTAGTAAAAAAATAGATAACTATCTAATAGAATCTACTATTAAAGAATATAAATATCTATCCTCCCTTTATAATTTTTTTAAAATTTCTACTTTTTCTTTTTCTTTTTTCTTTCTTTTTATTACTTTTAAAAATTATTTATATTATTAATTTAAAGTTATTAAAAATTAAATCTTATTAAACTATACTAATTAATATTAAGTTAGTTAAATAATTAAAAAATTAAAGCTAATTACTATTAATTATAAGTTATAAATTTTAAAATACTTTTAAAAAGTTATTAAAAATTTAATATTAAATAATAATTTAAAAAGTATTATAATTAAAAATAAAAATATTATTAAATAAAAATTTTAAATAAAGGTTAAAAAGATTAAGTTTAATTAATTAAATAATATTAATAATTTAATTAATAATTAAACTTTATATTTTTCTTTTATTTAAAAATATTAAACTTTAATTTAATAATTTTCTAAATATAAATAATAATTTAATTATTTTATTATAATATTAAACTTTAATAAATTTCTAAAAGTTTTAAATATTAAAGTAAAGATTTAATTTTTAAACTTTTAAAAATAAATATTTAATATATTTATTATAATTTATTTATAAATTATAAATACTTTCTCTTTATAAAATTATAAATAAAAATAAATAACTTTTTATTTAAAATAATAAAATAAATTTAAATTTAACTTATTAAATATTATTAATTTAAAAGTTATAAATTTATATTAAAAAATTAAAAAATAAAACTTTATTAATAAAAATATAAAAAGTTTTTTATATTATTTATTTATTATAAAAAATAAAAATTAAACTTTTAATAAAATTTTACTTTATTTAAAGTTAAATATATTTATTAATATATAACTTATTTTAATAAGTTTATTAATTAAAAGTTAAAAATAATTAATATTAAATAATATAAACTTTATTAAAAAAGAAATACTTTATCTATTATTATTTTATTTTAAAAGAATTATTATATATTTTAAAACTAATTAATATTAATTAATATTAATTTTTTATTTATTATTATTTTAAAAGGTTATTATTTATTTTTAAAGTTTAAATTAATATTAATTAATATTAACTTTTATATTTTAATTATTTATTAAAATTACTTAATTTAATATTTTTAATATTAACTACTTTTAACTTCTTTTATTAAAGTAAATAAAGTTTAAAGTTAATTTAAATAATAATAATAAAGTTTTTAACTTTTTTATTAAATTAAAATAATTAAATTTTAAAACTATTCTATTATTTAAATTAAAATAGATTAATAATTAATTAACTTTATTATAAACTTTATAATATTTAATAAATATAATATTTTATAAATTATAATTAATAACCTTAATTAATTATTATATTTAATTTAAAATAATAATTTTAAAAGAAACTCTAAAAGATAATTAATTTAAATATAATAATTAATATAATAATATTAAAATACCTTATTTATTATTTTATTAAAATTTATATAAATAATATTAATATTAAATATTATAAATATAAGTTTTTAAATTTAAATTATTTATATAGTTTTTTTAATAATTTATTTTATAATATAATAATTTATTATATATATATATATTAATATAAAAGAATAATTATATTTATATTAAAAGAAAGTAATTAATAATATTAAAATACTAATTATAAATAATAAAAGTATTAAAAACTATATTAAAATAAATTAAAAATATTATAAATAATATATTATAAAAATAATTTAAAAATATTATAATTAAAACTTAATATAATAAAGTATTATAAACTTTATAAAAAATTATTAATATTTAAAAAAATATAAAAGTAAATAATTAAAAACTATTTAATTAAGTTTTTATTTATTTTTATTAATAAATTAAATAATAAACTATAATACTATACTATTTATATATTTTATATAGCTTAATATAATAATATTATTAAAATAATAATAAATAGAGTATTTAATAACTACTATTAAATATAAAGTCTAAGATTTACTATAAAAGTATAGTAAATAACTAATTTATAATAAATTTATTATTAAATAATAATTCACTATAAATTTATAATAGATTTATAAATAACTATAATAAATACTTAAAGTATATAGTAAATATTTAAAGTATCTACTCTTTAATATAATAAAACTAACCCTTATAATATAAAGAGTATATAAAATAAAATAAATAATATAATATTATTAAAACTATAATTTTATTAAAAATTACTTATAATATAGTATTAAATTTAATAATTAAAAATTTTATTATTTTAAATTAATTAATATAGCTAATAAAATTAATAAAAACCTAAAATATAATATTTATAAAAATAAAAATAAAATAATTAGAACTAAAGGTTTCTTTTAAATTAAAACTTATAAACTTAAAAACTATATTAATTACTAAATAAACCTCCTTTTAAAGCTATAAAAACTAACCTTTAATTATAAAAATATATAAAAACTATTATAATTATAAAAGCATTATTTCCTAAATTATTAATAAATTTAATAATAATATTAAAAAGCTAAAATTATTTAAAAAATAATAAAGTTAATAATAAATATTTAATTTTATTAATACTAATTTTAAACTTTATAATTTAAACTTATAAAGATATAAATAATTTAAATTAAAATATAAAAAATAAATTATAATTTAAAACTTAAAAATAAGTAATATAAACTATTAATTTAATATATAAATTAATATATTATATTTTAAAAACTCCTTTAAAAATAATATAAAAATTTATAATAAAAATATAAATAATTATAGTTAAATAATATATTAAAATAAAAATATATATAAAAATATTTTTAAACTACTATAAAGTCTAAAAATACTATATTTTAAGTAAACTAATAGAAAACTATTATAATAAAAGCTACTTAATAAAGAATTATAAAATAAAATAACCTATTATTTAAATTTATAACTTATTATAAACTTTATAAAAATATTACTAATATAAATAACTATATTTAAGTAAATATAAGAATAGAAAATTATAAATAAAAACTTTATATATTATAATATTAAAAACCTTTTAAAAAGAGTTATAAACTTTAAATATATAAAATAAACTTATAAAAACTATAATGAGAGTATAAATAATTATTTATAATAACTTAAAAGACTATAATAATAAAAGAATATTTATATTATTAAAAAAATCCTAATTAATAAAATATAAATAAACTATATAAATCCTATATAAACTAAAAATATAGTTAATTTAAAATAAAAGAACCCACTAATTTATATAAAGTATATACTAAAAACTATACCCTTATAAATTACTATTATATCTTCCTAAAAAGCTTTTAAAGGCTTTAAAAAATAAAACTATTAAAAAAGATATATAAAACCTTTAAAAATAATATAAACTTATAAATAAAAATTTAAACTATAAAAACCTAAAGTTAAAATTTAAATTAAAAATACTATAACCTTCTAAAAAAATTAATTAAAAAGTTAAAAATAACTCTTAAAATACTATATAATTAATATAAAAATAAAAAATTTTTATTATAAATATAGAAGAATACTTTTAAAATATTTAATTATATTAAACTTAATAAATATAATATTAATTATAAATAATTATAAAAACTATTTAATTTAAAACTAATTATATATAATAATTATTTATAAATAAATAATTAATAACTCTTTATTATAATATATAGTATAATATTAATCTATATTAAAAATCTATCTTATAAATAGAAAATATTACTCTATATTTAAAGATCTTAATTATATTAATATCTTTAAGATAACTTTAAAAAAGTATTTTTAAGAAAATAAAGTAAATTTAACTATATTAAAAATAAAATAAAATAATCCTTTATAAACTTATAAATATTTATAAATAATATATTATTAAATACCTAATTTATAAACTAAAAACTATAGTTAATACTTAAAGAAAGAAATATATAATATTTATTAAAAGAAAACTATTAATAAATAAAACCCTTTTATAGTATAAATAACTTAAATATTTTAAATTTAAAGTATTAAAATATTTAATAAATATTTTAAAGAGTATAAATTTATAAACTAATAATAATTAAATATAAAATATATACTTTAACTAAGATTATAAGATAAATTTATTACTTATTAAGAGAGATCTTTAAATAAAAAGTAAAAGAATAGTATTAAACTTTTATAATTATAAATTAAAGATTTATAGTTATAATTTATAACTCCTATTTATATATAGTGTCTTTAAATATATATAAAATTATTATATAATAAACTAAAATAGTAATATAATACTTAAAATATTTAAATCTTTTTAAAATAATAAAACTTTAATATAATATAAAAGTTAAAATTATTAAATATAATAATAAAATATTTAATTAAAAATAAACTATTAAAAACTATTTTAAGTTAAAATATATTAAAATTAAACCCTTTATACTTAATATATAAATATAGAATAGTGGAGTAAAGTACTTAAAGAGTATAATTAAATAGAAGATATAAGCTTTATAAATAAGTTTAAAACTCTTAACTTTCTTTTAATTAAAAATTAGATAAATAACTATCTATTTTAATAATTAAATACTATTTTATAATCTAAACTAATAGATATTATATTATTAATTCTTTTTATTATTATTAAAAATAAAGAATTTTAAAGTTTAATTTAAAATTTAATTAAATTTATTTAAAAGTATTTAACTAT